TTTTGCAGATTGACACTGAATCCAGGTGTTTCTGTTCTGCGATTTGGAGTAGGGTGAGGGGGCACTGTGTGTCGGGGGAGGAGGAAGGGCTTCCAAGAGTCGTGCCCTCCCTCCCCTGTGACCTCACTTGATCACTTGATCACTTGACATCCTGTTACTCATCGATTTGCTCGAGCGGGTGCCAGTAACATCTCCATTCGTTCCTGTCAGTGCTAGTGTAGCCCAATGGCATCTGCTCATTCTAGGAACACGAAGAGCCTCAAACCGATCGTTCAGGGTCTTGACAAAGAAGTCCGACCATCTGGTAGGTGGGCGGCCACGCGGTCTTTTGACATCCCGTGGAATCCAATCAGTAACAGCTCTAGTCCAACGGTCGTCTCCAAATCTCATTATGTGTCCAGCCCATCTGAATTTCGACACCTTGGCAAACGAGACAGCATCCCTGATTCTTGACCATCAACTCCGGATTCTTTCTCTCATTTGAGTGAAGAGTGATACTCCAAACATAGCTCTTTCGATTCTTCTTTGGGAGATTCGAAGAGCGTTCTCATCCTATTTTCATAGGGCCCAGGTCTCTGAGGCATATGTTAATGCAGGAAGAACAGTGGAATCGAAGAGATGTGCCCGGAGCCGGAGGTTCTTCATCTTCCTAGCTATTTCTTCAATGCTCTTGAAGGTGTTCCTCCTGCACAACTCAGCTGCCAGGTCATTCGTCATGTTGACTTCTCGACCTAGGTACACATAACTGTTGCATTCGGAGATGGTCGTTCTATTGAGAGCGAATAGAACGTCAGAAACGAGACTGTTTCTCATAAACATTGTCTTTGTGAGATTCAGCTGTAGTCTAACCTTTCCACACTCACGGTCGAAGTTGGACAGCATTTGTGCCGCTTGGCTAATGTTTTGTGTGACCTCATACGTGCCAAGCACCCCATCGACACTGAGCTACATTCACAGCTTGTCCCTTGGTTATTTGGGATACGATTTTTTTTAAATTTTAATGAATCACCATGAGATGTAGTTACAGACTACAAACTTTTGTGATTAAGTTTCAGTCAATGTTCAAGTACCCATCCCTCCACCAGTGCCCATTCTCCACTACCAATGTTCCCATTGTCCCTCCTGCCACCCCCACCCCTTTCCACCCCCTGCCTCTGTGGCAGACACATTCCCTCTCACTCTCTCTCTCCTTCTGGGTGTTACAGTTTGCAGTATAGGTACTAAGCAGCCATCATGTTTGGTCCATAGTCTACTTTCAGCCCACATCTACCATCCCAAGCGATCCCTCCAACCATCATTTACCTAGTGGTCCCTTCTCCATCCTACCTACCTTTTCCCCCAGTACATGAGATTGGCTTCTAAGCCGTGGACCAATACTCCTGGCCCTTACCTCTACTATACTTAGGTGTTATTCTTCTATTATGTTACTTAATACTCCACAGATGGGTGCAGTCATTCAGTGTCTGTCCAGCTCTTTTTAATTCATTTCACTTAGTATGATACACTCCATGTTGATCCACTTATATGCAAATTTCATGGTTTCGTCTTTTCTAGGGCTGGAGCGATAACACAGCGGTATGGCGTTTGCCTTGCGCGCAGCCGACCCGGCCGAGCTGGGTTCGATTCCTCCACCCCTCTTGGAGAGCCCGGCAAGCTACTGAGAGTATCTTGCCCACACACAGCAAAGCCTGGCAAGCTACCCGTGACGTATTTGATATACCAAACACAGTAATAGAAGTCTCACAATGGAGACGTTACTGGGCCCGCTCGAGCAAATCGATGAACAACAGGAGGACAGTGCTACAGTGCTACATCTTTTCTAACAGCTGCATCATATTCCATGTGTAGACATACCAAAGATTCTTTAACCAGTCATCTGTTCTCAGGCACTCGGGTGTTTTTCAGATGCTGGCTATTGTAAATAGTGCTGCAATAAACATACAAGTGCAGATGTCATTTCTACTGTACTTTTTTGCGTCTCTGGGATATATTCCTAGAAGTGGCATTGCTGGGTCAAATGGGAGCTCAATTTCTAGTTTTTTTGAGAAATGTCCATATTGTTCTCAAAAACACTGGACCAGTTGGCATTCCCACCAGCAGTGAAGGAGAGTCCTTTTCTCCCCACATCAGGATGCGGTTTGTTTTTGGGTTTTTTTTTTTGTTTTGTTTTTGCTTTTTGGGTCACATCCGGTGATTCACAGGGGTTTCCTGGTTCATGCACTCAGGAATTACTCCTGGCGGTGCTCGGGGCACCACTGGAATGCTGGGAATCGAACCCAGGTAGGCTGTGTGCAAGGCTTGCAGCCCTACCCGCTGTGCTATCACCCTGGGATGCGTTTTTTTTGTTGTTGTTGAAGGCAGAGACTTGTGTGTCTACCCGGGGTCAAGGCTGACTGCGGAACTCCTCTGGTCCGGCAGGGGGAGCCCGACACCTTCCATCTGCTGGTCCAGCGGCGGCCAACACCCTCGGAGGCGCCCCCTGGCAGAGGCCCTGGGGCAGCCCAAAGGACAGGGCAGTGTAGCAACAGGCAGGAATCGCCCACCTTTTGCGTTGGCTTCAGGGGCAGTAACAGCAGAGTGCAAGGTCCTGGCCTTTCTCCACCTGGCTGCAGTCACCAGGGAGACCCACCGGTCCCCGATCCCCGAGGAAATCCACTTTCCTGGATCCCTACTAGCTGCGACATTTCAACTCAAGGTTTAAGATTGCTCGTCCAGGTCAGCCAGACCATGGCAGAAGATGTGCAGAGCACGCGCCTGCGTGTGTGAGGCCCGAGTGCAGCTGTCCCCAGCTGCATGAGCACACGCGCGCGCACACACACACACTCATACAAACTCACACTAATACTCATACAAACTCATACACACATTCACTCATACACACACTCATGCAAACTCATATTTATGCACACAAACACATTCATACACACACTCATACAGACTCACGCTCATACAAACACACACACTCTTACAAACTCACACACACACACTCATACACACATACTCATACAAAAGCACACTCATACACACTCTCATAATAAGACATATTCATACACACTCAAAAACTCATACAACTACATACTCATACAACCACATACTTATACAAACACACACTCACACGCTCAAACACATAAAAACTCACATACACACATCCTCATACAAACACACACTCATACATTCATGCAAACACACACAAACTCATTTTTGCACATATACTCACACAAACACACGCTCATACACACACTCCTGCACACTCACACTCATACTCAAACTCTCACATAAACACACCTCATGCAAACACACGCACTCACACTCATACAAACACACTTATACACACTCATACAAACTCACACACTCATACAAACTCTCATACACATTCATACACTTACACATGAACATACACACATTCACACACAAAACATTCATCCAATCACAAGCATTCACACACTCAAATACTCACACACACTCATACACTCACACACTCGTACACACACTTGCACATATACAAACACTCACACAAGTTCACATACTCACATAACACTTTCACACATTCACATGTATTCACACTCATACACATATACACATTCAAGTACACGCTCATACACTCACACATGCACACAAACACACATAACATTCACATACATGCACTTCCACACACGCATACACTCACACAAACACACACACACAATTCACAGGCACACATCCAGTTACACACCTGCATAAACACACACACTCCAAACCATGCCAGCCAAGTCAAGTTTAAGTGTAAACTGGTCCTGGTCCCCACAGGGACAGACAGAGAGAAGAGAGGTAGGTGCTCTGGCATCATGCATGATCTGCTTGATTCCATCCTTTCCTCCACAAAGGGGGTGGGGGAAGCAACAATATGATTTATAAGAACTCCCTGTCTGGGTATATGGATATTCCATACCTATTTCTCCTCTCTGTGAGGTCTTCATAGTTCCTGGATCCCGCCCCTAAGTGGTTAAGAGATCTGGGTGTTTCTTGGTGTGCCATGAAAGTGACTTTCAGTGGCTGAAGTGATAATACTGTGAATTCAATCCCTGGCACAATATATGGTTCCTCGAGCAGTGCCAGGAGTGATCACTGAGCACTGAGTTAGGAGTAGGTCCTGAGCACTATCGGATGTGGCTTTTTTCACTGCCACTGTCTCTGTCAGTAATCGAGTAATTATCGATTACTCGAATGGGCGTCAGTAGCGTCTCCATTTGTCCCAGCCCTGAGATTTTAGCATCGTAAACTTTATGCTCTCTCTCCACAGATGCGGCACGCCAGCTAGATGTCCTTGGACATATGGTGACGCGCTTAGTGGGGAATGCGCAGAGGTTGGTGTCCTCAAAGAGCCCCACTGGTAGGCCTCGCATGCCTCCTGCTGCGCCCTGAAGGCTCAGCTTTGGGAGCGCAGGTTAGCCTTGAAGTCCTACGCAATCTCGAGCACCAGCCGCTGGAACAGCAGCTGGTGGATCTCATGTAGCACCATGATCTCAGGCTGGTTGCGGTGTGGCTTCTTCACGCAGCCTGTGGCTGGTGTGCTCTTGCGGGCCTCCTTGGTGGCCAGCTGCTTGCTGGACACCTTCCCGCCTGTTGACTTGCACACCGTCCTGCTTAGTACGAGCCCTCTCATTCTTCCCAACTCAGCTGGAGACTCCTTCAGGGTTAGGGAAATGAGACCCATTTTAGCTACTGTTGTTGGCATATTTGGTACATCATGGGTGGCTTGCCAGGCTCTGCTGTGCGGGCTTGGATACCCTCGGTAGCTTGCCGGCAAGTGGCTTTTTTTAAAAAATGAAAAAGATTTAGATTCACTTTACCACAGCTGGAGGGAGTACTGGCCCTCCCCAGCCTGTGCTGGCCAAGTTCCTCTTCTGGGAATGGCCACAGGTTCTTGCCCAACTTCCCATTGGTGCCTGCTGGGTCCCAGCCCACCATTCTGGCTACTTCCTTCCCTGACAGAAGGACCCACTGACACTGGGTACTCGAACATGGGGTCCCCGTGGCTGCTGCTGCTGCTGCCCCTGCTGTGTGGGGGTGAGTGGGGCTGAGCCAGGGTACCAGCTGTGCCTAAGGGAGGGGGAAGAGGGGGGAGGGGAGTGGGGGTGACTCTGTGCCCCCACCCAGGGCTCAGGCAGGGGGATGAGCTGTGCCTGCAGGAGGAAGAGGGGGGAGGGGAGTGGAACTGACTCTGTGTCCCCATCCAGGGCTCCAGCAGGAGGACCAAGGGTACCAGCTAAACCTGAAGGAGCAGGTGGTGGTGGTGCAGGAGGGGCTGTGTGCCTCCGTGTCCTGCTCCTTCATCATCCCCAGATCTTATCAGTTCTATCCACTCACTGTCTACTGGTTCCGGGGAGGGGATTCACACAGGGATGATCCTGTGGCCACAAACGACCAACAGAGACAGGTGAAGAGAGAGGCCTTGGGCCGATTCCGCCTGCTTGGGAACCCCAGTGACCACAACTGCTCCCTGGGCATCAGACGTGCTAGACACACAGACCAGGGCATCTACTTCTTCCGAGTGGAGCAAGGGAATGTGAGATACAACTATAAGGCCACGATGCTGCAAGTGCTGGTGACAGGTAGGGGAACTGGGACGAGAGCAGGGCACCTGGTCCAGGGCCAAGCGGGGTCCTCTCTGGCCATGCTGCTGGCCACCCTCAGGGTGCCCCATATCCTCAGCACTCACAGAGAAACCTGCCATCCACGTGGCTGAACCACTGGTGTCGGGCCACCCAGGGCGCCTCACCTGCAGCCTGCCGGGAGCCTGTGAAACAACATCCCTCCAGTTCTCCTGGGCAGGAGAGATGCTCGGCCCCTCCCCACCCACCTCTGCAGAGCTCAGCCTCACCCCGGGACCCAGGGACCACGGCAAAAACCTCAGCTGTCAAGTGAGACTCCTGGGAACTCTGAGAACCACGGAGACGACCATCCGCCTCCACGTGTCCTGTGAGTGGGGCCTGGCAGTGTCGGTCAGGGGGGTCCCAGAAACGGGGGTCGCAGGCAGTCGCAGTCCCAGAGGTGGGGGCCCTAAAGCACCACCTCTTTCAGGGAGGGGACTCCCGGGTGCAGGGATAGCATCCCTGCCCATGGCCCCCAGCACCTCATCCCTCCCTAGACACACCAGAGTCAACGACGATTGATGTTTTCCAGCACACCCAGACAGGTATGAAATGGGGCCCCTCGCTGGCAGAGCTCAGAGTCCCCTCTCTGTGACTGTCCTGTGCCATTGCCTCCCCCCACCACCAGCTCTCCTCAATAGTTACTCTGAGCTAATCCCTGATCTGCTGCATTAACTATGACATGGGCTGAGGATCAGGGGTCAGGGGGCTCTCCCTGCAGTGCTCAGGGCTGACTCCTGGCTCTGCACTCAGAGGTCACTCATGGCGGGCTCAAGGGACCATAAGAGGTGCCGGGGGAAATCAAACCTGGGTTGACTGTGTGCAAGGCAGACACTCTTGCCACTGCCCTCTCTCTCTGGTCCCACCCGTGTTCTCTTAAACCTCTCTCTCTCTCTCTCTCTCTCTCTCTCTCTCTCTCTCTCTCTCTCTCTCTCTCTCTCTGCACCTGTGCTCTGCATGGTATTCCTTGCTTATCTTTGCCAGGAGCTTCCAAGTTCCCATCCTGTAACTGTGCTGTTGAGGGAGTCGAATCCAAAGTGCATGTCTGGCATTGAGAGACAGAACAAAGGTTCAGGGATTGGTGAACAGCCAACACAGCCCTGGTTCGAAGCCTAGCTCTGCAAATGGTCCCCTGAGCACAGCCGAGTATGGCCCCCCAAACCAGAAGGAAAATAAATACACGTTTACTTGCCGACCCGAGGGCTGGCAGGCCAGTCCAGGCTCTCCAGAATCCCACCCCTGAGGATGTGGACTGCCCCCTTTTACTGCACCCCTGGAAGCTGCCCAAGGTCATGTCACCGAGACCAAGGATGCAGCTGAGGCCATCTCGTCTGTGAGATTTAGGCACCAGCCTGTGTCAGTCGACCCTGGTTCCATCCCCAGCACCACATGGTCCGAGCACTGCTGGGAGCAACCCCTAATCACAGAGCCAGAAGTAGACCCCCCAAGTACTGTGGGATGTGGCCCAGCCCTTCAGTCATCCCCAAAGCACGTAAGGGATTCTGGGAGGCAGGCAACGGGCTGAGCACCGCGCTGCAGGGAGAGCCCCCTGATTCCAGCACAAGAGGTGCCACGAGCACCCTAGAGAGCTCCTGAGCACAGAGCTGACTTGGGACTGATATACACAGGGGTGGCCCCAAATTCCCCCAAACCTCACGAGATTCCCGTGGTGTGGCCACAGTTAAGCTAGACACTAGACGATTCCATGTACCCCACCGTCACCGCTCAACTTTATCCGTCCTTTCCTGCCCCTTGGCCCAGCTCCTGCCTTGGCCCTTCTAATGGCCATCTGCACCCCTCCCCCAGCCTGTCTGTCCCCATCCGAGCCGCGGGATCTCTCCGCTGGGAGCTGGGGGTGCAGGAGCTATGCTGGGGGGTGCAGGATCCTCTCTGCTAGGGGTTGGGGGTGCAGGATCTTCTCTGCTGGGGGTTGAGGGGTGCAGGGTCTTCTCCTAGGCACTGTGCACTGATCCCCTTTCTTGTACTGACAGTTTCCAGCCACCGTGCGTAGTGCCCAAGCCCTGGCCGGCAGTTTACCGGCACCTCAACAACCCTCAGCCCCACCTGGCCCTGTGCCATACAAGTGGGGACCCTTCCTCCACCAGGCTCAATTCTCGAAGGCTCCCTCACCCCTCCTTCCAGCCTCCACAGTGCCCCCAGAGCCCTTCGCCTCCTCTGGACACCACGACCCCCAGGACATGGAGTGGGGGGGTTTCTGAGGGGGTCCCAAATGTGCCCTCCGCTGTGCTGCTCTCCACAGTCCTGGAGACCACCAGCAAGGATTCCCTCTCACTGGCTTCCTGGAGGGCCAGTACCTGCCCAGCGCCCCCCCCCACCCTGTCCCACGAGCTGAGCTGGTCCCCAGGGGAAAGCCCTGAGCTCCCTCTGGCCCCAGAGCCCCGAGGTCCTGGAGCTGCCATGGAGCACTGCTCACCTGCCATGCCACCAGTGCTCTGCCCCCGCAGGGTTTCTGTCCTTCTATCCTGGGTATGTGCAGGGTGGAGGGGGGCGGGGGCTCCAAACATCTAGGGGTGAGGGGCAAGAGTGGGGTACGGGGTGGGTGCAGGGATGCAGGGCAGGAATGTGGAGAAGTGAGGAATGCGGGGCAGGTACAGGCAAGTGTGGGGTGCAGGGTGGGTGTGGGGTGGGTGCGGGGATGTGGGCAAGTGAAAGGGGAGGGGCAAGTGCAGGCGGTGGGGTGTGCGGTACAGGGGGTGGGAGCAGTGGTGTGGGAGAATGCAGAGATGGGGGGCAGGGGGGAAGTGCGGGTAAGGGTGCGGGCGGGTGTGGGGTGGGTGCAGCCTGCTAGGGCTTCTGGGTGGAGACAACTCCTTCCCCTCCCCTTCTCTGCAGAGCCCCGCTCCTGCAGCTGTGAGCCCCCGGAGCAGCGGGGCTCCTGGCCCCTGGTGCTCACGCTGATCCGGGGCTCCCTCATGGGGGCCGGCTACCTCCTCACCTATGGCCTCACCTGGGTCTACTACAGCAGGTGAGAGGTGCACCGAGCCCCAGCAGAGAGGAGGGGAGGTGGGACCCTGAGATTCGTGTTCCACAGATGCAGGGACACACAGGACCGCTGAGCCCCCCCCCACCCCCCACCTAGAGCTCAGGACTCAGCTGGGGAGTGGATCCCTAGGGCTGGAGGTGGTGAAGGACCCCAGCACTTGGCTTCTCCTGTCCTTAACTTGCACCTGAGTGATTTCCAGTGCAGCTGGTTTAGCCCGGATTCAAAAGCGGTTTTGGATCCACTTCATGTTCCCTGAGAAGGCGGGGTGTGTCCTGCCATGCGGGGTCAGGGGGCCCAGCCTTTCCTGGGCTTCTTTCTCCAGAATGACTGGTTGGGGGGCCCAGAGCCACATTCCAGCTGGGAGGGCGCTGGCCTTGCACGCAGGGGACCTGGGCTCAATCCCGAACAGCCCATATCGCCCCCCCCCAGAACCACCAGGAGTGATCCCTGAGCACAGAATCAGGCAGCAGCCCTGGAGCACCAGCCATGGCCCCAAACCCCCACCAAAGAGGGAAAAAAATGGAACATCACATTTGCTCACATAAGCTGACGTTTGACTAAACGGTGAAACTCAGGATTTCTGCCGGCTTTTCCAGGACAGAATGAGCAGGAATCTCCAAATCCTCGTTGCTGTTGTTGAATGTGTTTCTTTTGTTTGTTTGTTTTAATGGCTAATGTCAAATGAAATAAAATGTATGAATCCCCAAGTGTCATGACTCATGAACAGTACATGGGCACCCAAGCCTGTCACTGTCCTCCAGCTCCATACACAGGTTCTGTCTGGGCCACCAGAAAGCCTGCTGGGCCTCTTGCAGATTTAAAAATGATCATCAGGTCCCAGGTGATAGACAGCAGATTGGGCACTCGCCTTGCACACAGTTGATCCCAGCTCAGTCCCCAACTCCACATGCTGGCCCCCAAAGCCTGCCACCAGCAACTCCTGAGCACAGAACTAGGAGTAAGTTCCTGGATGACCTTGCATCCACCAGGAAGAGCCCCTAAATAAAACAGAAAAATACTAAATGCATGAAGGCCGGCGCCCACCCAAAACTGGGACCTGAGTGATAGTACAGTGTGAGGGTGTTTGCCTTCCACATGACCTACCCAGGTTCGATTCGCAGCACTGTATATGTTCCCCCAAGCACTGCCACAAGTGGTCCTTGAGCACAGAACCAGGAGTAAGCGAGCCCTGAGCACTGCTGGGTGTGGCCCAATAAACTAGCAAAGCAAACAAAAAAAATCAAAGTGAACAAAAGGTCTATTTTTGTATTATATATAATTGAGCAGAATAAAAGTCTTAAAAAATGTTGTGAGGCCAGAGTGAAAGGACTTCAGGTAAGGAAGTCACTTGCTTTATACTCAACAACCAGGTTCAAACCTAGGTGCCCCATATGGTCCCTCGAGTGCATTGGGGGGGGGGGGTGATTCCTGGCAACACCTGAGCACAGGGTCAGATCTGAGCCCTGCCTAGTGTGGCCCAAAGGCAAACAAAAACATCAATGAGGTGGAGGAGGAGGTTCCTGGTTCAGAGCCCAGGATCTCACACACAATAGACACGTGCTCCACACCTGAGCTTCACACACAAGTTTTTCATAGGGACTACACCCAGCAGCACCTGGGGCCACTCAGGTCACACTCATGATAGTCCAGGAGCTGGGGACCGACCTCAAGGCTTTGTACATGCCAGTCACGAGCTCTGACTCTCAGCTCTTTATCAGATCACTGGGCACAGAACCAGGAGTAAGCCTGAGCACCGCTTGGGCATGGCCCAGAAAATAAATGAACCAACCCCCAAGCAACATTCCTACAATCCTGGAGCAAGAGGACAGGGATGCTGACACTCCAGTGAGCTGCCCCCTAGAGCAAGAGCAAGAGTGTGCACAGGGTGGGGCACATCTGAATGTGTCCTGCACTTATTTGGAAGTTGCGTTGGGGGGTTGAACCACACTCGGCAGGGCTCAGGGCTGACTCCTGATTGCTCAAAATTCACTGCTAGGCAGGATTCATGGACCCTATGGGTGTCAGGGGTGGAACCTGGGCCAGCCTCATCAATGGCAAGTGTTTTAGCACCTGTCTATCTCTCCACCCCTCCAATGTGCTTTGATATAAGGAATCGTGTGTCATCAATTCACAACAGCACAAATCACTTGATCACTTGACTTCCCATTAATCATCGATTTGCTCGAGCGGGCACCAGTAACATCTCCATTTGTCCCTGTCACGTGCTACTGTAGCCCAACAGCATCTGCTCGTTCTGGGAACACGAAGAGCCTCGAACCGATTGTTCAGGATCTTGATGAAGAAGTCTGACGATCTGGTAGGTGGGCGGCCACGCGGTCTTTTGACGTCCTGTGGAATCCAGTCAGTAACAGCTCTAGTCCAGCGGTCATCTCCAAATCTCATTACGTGTCCAGCCCATCTGATTTTTAACACCTTGGCAAATGAGACAATGTCCCTGATTCTTGATCATCGACAGAACTCTGAATTCTTTCTCTTATTTGAGTGAAACGTGATACTCCAAGCATAGCTCTTTCAATTCCTCTTTGGGAGATCCGAATAGTATTCTCATCCTGTTTGCATAAGGCCTGGGTCTCTGAGGTGTATGTTAATGCAGGAAGAACAGTGGAATCAAAGAGATGTGCCCGAAGCCAGAGGTTCTTCATCCTCTTAGCTATTTCTTCGACACTCTTGAAGGCATTCCAAGCCGCTCTCTTCCTCCTGCGCAATTCAGGTGCCAGATCATTCATCATGTTGACTTCTCAACCTAGGTACACATAACTGTTGCATTCGGAGATGGTCATTCTGTTGAGAGCAAATGTAGCATCAGGAACGAGGCTGTTTCTCATAAACATTGTCTTCGTGAGATTCAGCTATAGCCTGACCTTTCCACACTCACGGTCGAAGTCGGCCAGCATTTGTGCCGCTTGGCTAATGTTTGGTGTTATTAGAATGATGTCATCAGCAAAGCGAAGGTGGTGTAGTTGCCGACCGTCTATCTTCACTTCCATTCCTTTCCATTCCAGTTGTCGCATGATATTCTTGAAGGTGGCACTAAAGAGTTTCGGTGAAATAGTATCACCCTGCCAAACCCCTCTCTTGACATGGATGATCACTTCCTTGCAGAATGGTGAGATCCTGGTAGTGATCCAGGTTCAATTCACCTGCCCCTCTCAGAGAGCCCGGCAAGATACCGAGAGTATCTCGCCTGCACAGCAAAGCCTGGCAAGCTACCCGTGACATATTCAATATGCCAAACACAGTAACAAGTCTCACGATGGAGATGCTACTGGGCCCGCTCGAGCTTGAGCTATCTCTCTCTTGGTGTTCCTTGCGCAATCATGGAGGTACTGAACCAGTCGATCATATTCCTCGTCAATGTTGTCAACAACGGCTTCTTCCCATGTTGCCGCAATAGTACCAAAGAGTTTCCAGTTGCTGCTCATTCTGGGAGTTCTCTTCTTAAACTTTGCAGCTCTTTCTCCCTGCTCTGTGAAGTAGAATTTTGCACAAAGGAGACGGTGGTTTGATCCCATTTGGAATTTTGGGACAACAGCGACATCGGTCAGGCAAAACCGTTGATTGAATATGATGTGGTCTATTTTGTTGTGGAACCGTCCACCGGGAGACTCCCATGTCCAACGTTTAGATTCGGCCTTCTGGAACTGTGAGTTACCATGGATGGTCTTGGCCGACATGATGAACTCAGACAGTCTCTCACCCTGTTCGTTCCATTCTAGGCCTTGGGTCCCAATGTGGAGTTCTTCGGCTGATCTTCTCGGTCCTATCTTGGCATTAAAATCACCAACAATAATCTGGTAGAAGGTGTGGTCTTCTTTATAGAACTTCTTCAGCTCCATGTATAACTTCTCAATTTCTCCATCATAATTGGATGTAGGTGCGTAGACAACGAAGATACAAACTGCCGGCAGTGAGTCACATCTATACAAGTGTAAACGTCCAATTCGGATTGTTAGGCATTCGAATGAATCAATGCTCATGGCCAAGTTCGTATTGACAAGAACACCGACGCCTCTGACACCTCTTTTATCGCATGTTCCGAGGAACAATTCTTCTCCCGTGTCGAAAACGGCGTGCTGTGATTGCTGCCTTCTTGTCTCGGTCAGACCAATGATGTCGTACTTGATCTTTCGCGCTTGTTCCATCAGGTCCTCGATGGATGCATCCGACGCTAGCGTACGTGCATGGAAAGTACAGACAATCGTTTTTGTCTTCCATCGTTTTGGCAGCCTAGTTCAGCCTTGAGATTTTATTAGTCTCTCCTTCCTCATCCTTCTCAATGCTGCCATCTTAGTGACACTTTCAGGGTCAGGGGAATGAGACCCATTGTAATTGCTGGTGTTGGCATATCGAATACACAACGGATAGCTTCGAGGCTCTGCCTTGCGGGCAGAATACTCTCGGTAGCTGATATTCGAAACGAAATAAATAGAAGAGGGGCTGGAGCGATGGTCCAGAAGGGAGGGGCTGACCTTGCATGCAGCTGACCTGGGTTTGTTCCCCAGCATCCCTTATGGTCCCCTTAGCACCACCGGGAGTCATTCCCCATCCTTCCCTCATTCCCCCAACCTCCCTCACGTCCCCCGGCAACCCCTCATGTCCCCTAACCTCCCTCATGTCCCCCAGCACCCCCTCACATCCACCTACCCAATGTCCCCTCAATTCTCATGCCCCCCTATCTCATGGCCACTCAGAAAATGTGCTTTCAGCTCAGCTCTCCTGGGGTCCCACCCTTCACCCCTTGAATCTGGACATCTCTCTGCTTCTTGCCATGGCTGTTCAAACATCCCATTGTTCTTCCTCGTGCTGGGTGAGTCTCGGCTAGATCTGGATTCGGGGAGCACCCAGTCCACTCCCATGTCCCCTGTGCTGTGGCCACCTGCGCTGGCCCTGGGGTTGGCATCATGGAAGGTGCTTCAGGCCTCGTCGGAAGAGCCAGTCCCTGGGGTCTGTGCACCAGCAGTCGATACGTGCGGGAGGGGGCTGGGTCAGGTCTCGGCCCTCCCCGGCCTGTGCTGGCCAAGTTCCTCTTCCGGGAATGGCCACAGGCTCTTGCCCCACTTCCTGTTGGTGCCTGCTGGGCCCCAGCCCACCATTCTGGATACTTCCTTCCCTGACAGAGAGACCGACCCACCCACACTGGCTCTGCCCTGGCAGGTGCAGACATGGGGTTCCCATGGCTGCTGCTGCTGCTGCTGTTGTCCCTGCTGTGTGGTGGTGAGTGGGGCTGGGCCTGTGTCCCCATCCAAGGCTTGAGCAGGGGGACCCAGGGTACCAGCTGTGCCTACTGGAGGGGGAAGAGGGAAGGGAGTGAGGGTGACTCTGTGCCCCCACCCAGGGCTCGGGCAGGGGGATAAGCTGTGCCTGAGTGAGTAAGAGGGGGGAGGGGAGTGAGGGTGACTCTGTGCCCCCACCCAGGGCTCAGGCAGGGGGATGAGCTGAGCCTGCGGGAGGAAGAGGGGGAAGGGGAGTGGAACTGACTTTGTGTCCCCATCCAGGGCTCCAGCAGGAGGACCAAGGGTACCAGCTAAACCTGAAAGAGCCGGTGTTGGTGGTGCAGGAGGGGCTGTGTGCCTCCATGTCCTGCTCCTTCATCATCCCCAGAACTTATCAGTTCTATCCACTCACTGTCTACTGGTTCCGGGAGGGGGATTCACACAGGGATGATCCTGTGGCCACAAACGACCAACAAAGACAGGTGAAGAGAGAGGCCTTGGGCCGATTCCACCTGCTTGGGAACCCCAGTGACCTGAAGTGCTCCCTGGGCATCAGACGTGCTAGACACACAGACCAGGGCAACTACTTCTTCCGAGTGGAGCAAGGGTATGTGAAATACAACTACAAGGCCACGATGCTGCGTGTGCTGGTGACAGGTAGGGGAACTGGGACGAGAGCAGGGCACCTGCTCCAGGGCCAAGCGGGGTCCTCTCTGGCCATGCTGCTGGCCACCCTCAGGGTGCCCCATATCCTCAGCACTCACAGAGAAACCTGCCATCCACGTGGCTGAACCACTGGTGTCGGGCCACCCAGGGCGCCTCACCTGCAGCCTGCCGGGAGCCTGTGAAACAACATCCCTCCAGTTCTCCTGGGCAGGAGAGATGCTCGGCCCCTCCCCACCCACCTCTGCAGAGCTCAGCCTCACCCCGGGACCCGGGGACCACGGCAAAAACCTCAGCTGTCAAGTGATACTCCTGGGAACTCTGAGAACCACGGAGACGACCATCTGCCTCAACGTGTCCTGTGAGTGGGGCCTGGCAGTGTCGGTCAGGGGGGTCCCAGAAACGGGGGTCCCAGGCAGTTGCGGTCCCAGAGGTGGGGGGCCTAAAGCACCATCTCTTCCACTTAGGGGTTCCAGCAGTGGGTTCCTGGGACTGGGGTGATGTGCAGAGGGACAGTGAGTGGGGATTTGGCTCCTGGGGCCCTGTGCCTGGATCTGATCTCAGAGGGACATGTGTGGCGCTTCTCGGATGTGTGAGGGTTCACCCTGACCTCTCTTCTGACACTGTTCTCTGTACTCCAGATCCCCCACAGAACCTCACCACCCACATCTCCTTCGAAGCCACCTCAGGTAGGAGGGACCCGGAGAGTGGGAGTGGGGGCGACCCCAGTGACCCAGCACCTCCTCCACCCCAGGGTGCCTCTCAGGGCTCTCACTAAAGCCCCATTTGACCATCTTCGCTCTGTAGACACCCAGGACCCTATTTCCCAAAGCCTGAGAGGCAGGTGTGTGCATGTAGATGAGTGCATATATGTTTATGTGCATGTATATAAACTGTGCTGCATGTGTCCATGTATGTGTCCATGCGTGTACATGTATTTCATATGTGAATGTGCACATACTGTGTACATGTGTGCATGTGCATTGCATATGTTTGCACATGCATATGTGTACAGTGTGTGCACATGTATGTGTGCATTAGTGTATGCATTATGCATGCATGTATAGTATGTGTGCATATACAGTATATGTGTGTACATGTACTATGTGTGTATGTGTGTACAGTGTTATGTGTACATGGGCAGTGTGTGTATGTGTGCATTACTGTGTGTGCACAGAGTTTATGCATGCACGTGTGTGCGTATGAATGCCCATGTGTTCACATGGTATGTCTTGGTACTCTCCATCAAACAGCCCAGGCATGTCCTACTGAGACACTGAACATCGTTTCAGACAGGACCCCCCACTTTTGGCCCTACCCAACCTTTGTGGGTGCAAAGTCTCAGCTGAGGCAGAGTGAGGAGAGGAGAGCAGGAGGAGCCCTGACCCGGGCTCTCCCGCCTTACCTCTCTCCTCCTCTCCCCAAAGTCCTGAAGATCAAGAAATCCACCTCAGCCCTATCAGTTCTGGGGGGCCAGACGGTGTGGCTGCTCTGTGGAGCTGACAGCAACCCCCCTGCAGAGCTGAGCTGGTTTCCCAGGTCCCCAGGCCTGAAGGCCACCACCCTCTCCACCAACACGGCCAAGCTGGAGCTGAGGCTTCCAGAGACCACAGAAGATGCGGAGTTCAACTGCCATGCTCAGAACCCTCTGGGCTCCCGGAACGTCTCTCTCAGGCTGTCTGTGCTCTGTGAGTGGGGTGGGGGAGGGATGGGGTGGGAGTGACACCTGGGTCCTGGGGAGGGGCCGCGCACCTGACGCTCCCCCTCCCTCCCACAGCCCCTCTGCAGCTGCTGGGCCCCTCCTGCTCCTGGGAGGCCCAGGACCTGCGATGTAGCTGCTCCTCCTGCGCCCGGCCCGCCCCTGCCCTGAGCTGGTGGCTGGATCAGCGGCTGCTGCCGGAGAACCGCAGCAACGCCTCCTTCCAGGTCACCTCCAACACCGAGGAATACTGGGCCAACAGCTCCCTGAGCCTCCGGAAGGGGTTCGGCGCCGGCCTCCCGGTCCGTTGCGAGGCCCGGAATGTCCAAGAGAGGCAGAGCGCCTGGGTCCTGCTGCAACCAGGTCGGGTCGTGGCGGGCGGGGAGGGGCAGGGCAGGGCGTGTACGTCTAGAGAAGGTGGAGGCGGGGCCTAGGGGCGGAGCCTAATGGGTGTAGACGACGTGGGCGGGGCGGGGCGTCACTGTCCGTCCGGAAGAAGAGGGAGCCGGGCCGAGGGGCGGAGCCCAGTTAGTGGGTGTGGCCTACGGGGCGAGGCAGGGCGGGGCGTGACAGTCCGTCCGGAAGAAGGTGGAGCCGGGCCCGAGTGTAGGAGCCTGGGGGGAGTGTGAAAGGGGAGGGGCAAGTGCAGGCGGTGGGGTGTGCGGTACAGGGCTGGGAGCACTGGTGTGGGAGAATGCAGAGATGGGGGTCAGGGGGGAAGTGCGGGTACGGGTGCGGGGCTGGTGCGGGGTGGGTGCATCCTGCTAGGGCTTCTGGGTGGAGACAACTCCTTCCCCTCCCCTTCTCTGCAGAGCCCCGCTCCTGCAGCTGTGAGCCCCCGGAGCAGCAGGGCTCCTGGCCCCTGGTGCTCACGCTGATCCGGGGCGCCCTCATGGGTGCCGGCTACCTCCTCACCTATGGCCTCACCTGGGTCTACTACAGCAGGTGAGAGGTGCACCGAGCCCCAGCGGAGAGGACGCGAGGTGGGACCCTGAGATTCGTGTTTCACAGATCCAGGGACACACAGGACCGCTGAGCCCCCCCCCCCCCCCCCCCCCCCCCCCCCCCCCCGCGAGCTCAGGACTCAGCTGGGGAGTGGATCCCTAGGGCTGGAGGTGGTGAAGAACCCCAGCACATGGCTTCTCCTGTCCTTACTTGCACCTGAGTGATTTCCAGTGCAGCTGGTTTAGCCCGGATTCCAAAAGCGGTTTTGGATCTACCAGGGCTGGAGCGATAGCACAGCGGGTAGGGCATTCGCCTTACAAGCGGCCAACATGGCTGACCCGAGTTCGATTCCTCCGCCCCTCTCGGAGAGCCCGGCAAGCTACCGAGAGTATTCGATATGCCAGACACAGTAACAACAAAGTCTCCAATGGAGACGTTACTGGGCCCGCTCGAGCAAATCGACGATCAACGGGAGGGCCTTTACCTTTACCTTCATATTCCCTGAGAAATCGGGGTGTGTCCTGCCATGCGGGGTCAGGGGACCCAGCCTTTCCTGGGCTTCTTCATATGAATGACTGGTTGGGGGGCCCAGAGCCACATTCCAGCTGGGAGGGCGCTGGCCTTGCACGCAGGGTATCTGGGCTCAATCCTGAACAGCCCATATCGCCCCCCCAGAACCACCAGGAATGATCCCTGAGCACAGAATCAGGCAGCAGCCCTGGAGCACCAGCCATGACCCCGAACCCCCACCAAAGAGGAAAAAAATATGGAACATCACATTTGCTCACATAAGCTGACGTTTGACTAAACGGTGAAACTCAGGATTTCTGCCGGCTTTTCCAGGACAGAATGAGCAGGAATCTCCAAATCCTCGTTGCTGTTGTTGAATGTGTTTCTTTTGTTTGTTTGTTTGTTTTAATGGCTAATGTCAAATGAAATAAAATGTATGAATCCCCAAGTGTCATGACTCATGAACACTATATGGGCACCTGTTAGGTCCCTAGGGACCCTAAGGGAGATTCCAGAGTTAAAACTCTATAAATTTTAACTCTCCCTTTCCTGCCCTCCTTATCTGTTACCTCCCTTAAGAACTATTCCCTTATCCACCTCCGGAATGCAGGGCTGAGAATCAGAGGAAGCAAGGTGATAACCAAATGTCCAAGTTACCTGATGCCCACTAGTCACAATGCCTATGTACGTAAATGCTGATCTTTGAATCTATAGGCTAAGGAGTGATGTACTTCTACATGGATTGGTTAAGAAAGCATATGTTGTTACAAATCTATTGGCTATGAAATGCGCGGGCTTTGCTGTAACGGCCAGTGAAGGCCTATATAAGATCCCCTTTGAAGAGGTTCGGGGTCTTGCCTCACCTAACTGACCTGCGTGTCTGTGTAGGCGGCTTGACCCTGGCTAGCCAGTCTTACAATAAACCTTGCTTGCTGTTTGCAGTCTCTGGAGTTTCTTTGTCGTTAAAGGGAGATCACGATCCGCGCCCTAACAACCCAAGCCTGTCACTGTCCTCCAGCTCCATACATGGGTTCTGTCTGGGCCACCAGAAAGCCTGCTGGGGCTCTTGCAGATTTAAAAATGATCATCAGGTCCCAGGTGATAGACAGCGGGTCAGGCACTTACCTTGCACATGGTTGACCCCAGCTCAGTCCCCAACTCCACATGCTGTCCCCCAAAGCTTGCCACCAGCAACTCCTGAGCACAGAACTAGAAGTAAGTCCTGAGTCCCACCAGGAATAGCCCCAAAATAAAACAGAAAAATACTAAATGCCATGAAGACCAGCAACCACCCAAAAATGATCAAACTGGAACCTGAGTGATAGTACAGTGTGAGGGGGTTTGCCTTCCACATGACCTACCCAGGTTCGATTCCAAGCACCTTATATGTTTCCCCAAGCACTGCCACAAGTGGTCCTTGAGCACAGAACCAGGAGTAAGCGAGCCCTGAGCATTGCTGGGTGTGGCCCAATAAACTAGCAAAGCAAACAAAAAAAATCAAAGTGAACAAATGGTCTATTTTTGTATTATATATAATTCAGCAAAATAAAAGTCTTAAAAAATGTTGTGAGGCCAGAGTGAAAGGACTTCGGGTAAGGAAGTCACTTTCTTTATACTCAACAACCAGGTTCAAACATAGGTACCCCATATGATCCCTCGAGTGCATTTGGCAGGGGTGGGGGGGCGGGGGCGGGGAGTGATTCCTGGCAACACCTGAGCACAGGGTCAGATCTGAGCCCTGCCTAGTGTGCCCCAAAAGCAAACAAAAACATCAATGAGGCGGAGAGGAGGTTCCTGATTCAGAGCCCAGGACCTCACACACAATAGACACGTGCTCCACACCTGAGCTTCACACACAAGTTTTTTATAGGGACTACACCCAGCAGCACCTGGGGCCACTCAGGTCACACTCATGATAGTCCAGGAGCTGGGGACCGACCTCAAGGCTTTGTACATGCCAGTCACGAGCTCTGACTCTCAGCTCTTTATCAGATCACTGGGCACAGAACCAGGAGTAAGCCTGAGCACCGCTTGGGCATGGCCCAGAAAATAAATGAACCAACCCCCAAGCAACATTCCTACAATCCTGGAGCAAGAGGACAGGGATGCTGACACTCCAGTGAGCTGCCCCCTAGAGCAAGAGCAAGAGTGTGCACGGGGTGGGGAGCATTTGAATGTGTCCTGCACTTATTTGGAAGTTGCGTTGGGGGGTTGAACCACACTCGGCAGGGCTCAGGGCTGACTCCTGATTGCTCAAAATTCACTGCTAGGCAGGATTCATGGACCCTATGGGTGTCAGGGGTGGAACCTTGGCCAGCCTCATCAATGGCAAGTGTTTTAGCACCTGTCTATCTCTCCACCCCTCCAATGTGCTTTGATATTAAGGAATCGTGTGTCATCAATTCACAAAGCACAAATCACTTGATCACTTGTCTTCCCATTAATCATCGATTTGCTCGAGCGGGCACCAGTAACTTCGATTTGTCCCTGTCACGTGCTAGTGTAGCCCAACGGCATCTGCTCGTTCTGGGAACACGAAGAGCCTCGAACCGATTGATCAGGATCTTGATGAAGAAGTCTGACCATCTGGTAGGTGGGCAACCACACGGTCTTTTGACGTCCCGTGGAATTCAGTCAGTAACAGCTCTAGTCCAGCGGTCGTCTCCAAATCTCATTACGTGTCCAGCCCATCTGATTTTTAACGCCTTGGCAAATGAGACAGTGTCCCTGATTCTTGATCATGGACAGAACTCTGAATTCTTTCTCTTATTTGAGTGAAATGTGATACTCCAAGCATAGCTCTTTCAATTCCTCTTTGGGAGATCCGAATAGTATTCTCATCCTGTTTGCATAAGGCCTGGGTCTCTGAGGTGTATGTTAATGCAAGAAGAGCAGTGGAATCAAAGAGATGTGCCCGAAGCCAAAGGTTCTTCATCCTCTTAGCTATTTCTTCGACACTCTTGAAGGCATTCCAAGCCGCTCTCTTCCTCCTGCGCAATTCAGGTGCCAGATCATTCATCATGTTGACTTCTCAACCTCGGTACACATAACTGTTGCATTCAGAGACGGTCATTCTGTTGAGAGAGAATGTAGCATCAGGAACGAGGCTGTTTCTCATAAACATTGTCTTCATGAGATTCAGCTATAGTCTGACCTTTCCACACTCACGGTCGAAGTCGGCCAGCATTTGTGCCGCTTGGCTAATGTTTGGTGTTATTAGAATGATGTCATCAGCAAAGCGAAGGTGGTGTAGTTGCCGACCATCTATCTTCACTTCCATTCCTTTCCATTCCAGTTGTCGCATGATATTCTTGAAGGTGGCACTAAAGAGTTTCGGTGAAATAGTATCACCCTGCCAAACCCCTCTCTTGACATGGATGATCACTTCCTTGCAGAATGGTGAGATCCTGGTAGTGATTCAGGTTCAATTCACCTGCCCCTCTCAGAGAGCCCGGCAAGATACCGAGAGTATCTCGCCTGCACAGCAAAGCCTGGCAAGCTACCCGTGACATATTCAATATGCCAAACACAGTAACAAGTCTCACGATGGAGATGCTACTGGGCCCGCTCGAGCTTGAGCTATCTCTCTCTTGGTGTTCCTTGCGCAATCATGGAGGTACTGAACCAGTCGATCATATTCCTCGTCAATGTTGTCAACAACGGCTTCTTCCCATGTTGCAGTAATAGTGCCATAGAGCTCCCAGTTGGTGGTCATTCTCGGAGTTCTCTTCTTAAACTTCGCAGCTCTTTCTCCCTGCTCTGTGAAGTGGAATTTTTCACAAAGGAGATGGTGGTTTGATCCCATTTGGAATTTTGGGACAACAGCGACATCGGTCAGGCAAAACCGTTGATTGAATATGATGTGGTCTATTTTGTTGTGGAACCATCCACCGGGAGACTCCCATGTCCAACGTTTAGATTTGGCCTTCTGGAACTGTGAGTTACCATGGATGGTCTTGGCCGACATGATGAACTCAGACAGTCTCTCACCCTGTTCGTTCCATTCTAGGCCTTGGGTCCCAATGTGGAGTTCTTCGGCTGATCTTCTCGGTCCTATCTTGGCATTAAAATCACCAACAATAATCTGGTAGAAGGTGTGGTCTTCTTTATAGAACTTCTTCAGCTCCATGTATAACTTCTCAATTTCTCCATCATAATTGGATGTTGGTGCGTAGACAACGAAGATACAAACTGCCGGCAGTGAGTCACATCTATACAAGTGTAAACGTCCAATTCGGATTGTTAGGCATTCGAATGAATCAATGCTCATGGCCAAGTTCGTATTGACAAGAACACCGACGCCTCTGACACCTCTTTTATCGCATGTTCCGAGGAACAATTCTTCTCCCGTGTCGAAAACGGCGTGCTGTGATTGCTGCCTTCTTGTCTCGGTCAGACCAATGATGTCGTACTTGATCTTTCGCGCTTGTTCCATCAGGTCCTCGATGGATGCATCCGACGCTAGCGTACGTGCATGGAAAGTACAGACAATCGTTTTTGTCTTCCATCGTTTTGGCAGCCTAGTTCAGCCTTGAGATTTTATTAGTCTCTCCTTCCTCATCCTTCTCAATGCTGCCATCTTAGTGACACTTTCAGGGTCAGGGGAATGAGACCCATTGTAATTGCTGGTGTTGGCATATCGAATACACAACGGATAGCTTCGAGGCTCTGCCTTGCGGGCAGAATACTCTCGGTAGCTGATATTCGAAACGAAATAAATAGAAGAGGGGCTGGAGCGATGGTCCAGAAGGGAGGGGCTGACCTTGCATGCAGCTGACCTGGGTTTGTTCCCCAGCATCCCTTATGGTCCCCTTAGCACCACCGGGAGTCATTCCCCATCCTTCCCTCATTCCCCCAACCTCCCTCACGTCCCCCGGCAACCCCTCATGTCCCCTAACCTCCCTCATGTCCCCCAGCACCCCCTCACATCCACCTACCCAATGTCCCCTCAATTCTCATGCCCCCCTATCTCATGGCCACTCAGAAAATGTGCTTTCAGCTCAGCTCTCCTGGGGTCCCACCCTTCACCCCTTGAATCTGGACATCTCTCTGCTTCTTGCCATGGCTGTTCAAACATCCCATTGTTCTTCCTCGTGCTGGGTGAGTCTCGGCTAGATCTGGATTCGGGGAGCACCCAGTCCACTCCCATGTCCCCTGTGCTGTGGCCACCTGCGCTGGCCCTGGGGTTGGCATCATGGAAGGTGCTTCAGGCCTCGTCGGAAGAGCCAGTCCCTGGGGTCTGTGCACCAGCAGTCGATACGTGCGGGAGGGGGCTGGGTCAGGTCTCGGCCCTCCCCGGCCTGTGCTGGCCAAGTTCCTCTTCCGGGAATGGCCACAGGCTCTTGCCCCACTTCCTGTTGGTGCCTGCTGGGCCCCAGCCCACCATTCTGGATACTTCCTTCCCTGACAGAGAGACCGACCCACCCACACTGGCTCTGCCCTGGCAGGTGCAGACATGGGGTTCCCATGGCTGCTGCTGCTGCTGCTGTTGTCCCTGCTGTGTGGTGGTGAGTGGGGCTGGGCCTGTGTCCCCATCCAAGGCTTGAGCAGGGGGACCCAGGGTACCAGCTGTGCCTACTGGAGGGGGAAGAGGGAAGGGAGTGAGGGTGACTCTGTGCCCCCACCCAGGGCTCGGGCAGGGGGATAAGCTGTGCCTGAGTGAGTAAGAGGGGGGAGGGGAGTGAGGGTGACTCTGTGCCCCCACCCAGGGCTCAGGCAGGGGGATGAGCTGAGCCTGCGGGAGGAAGAGGGGGAAGGGGAGTGGAACTGACTTTGTGTCCCCATCCAGGGCTCCAGCAGGAGGACCAAGGGTACCAGCTAAACCTGAAAGAGCCGGTGTTGGTGGTGCAGGAGGGGCTGTGTGCCTCCATGTCCTGCTCCTTCATCATCCCCAGAACTTATCAGTTCTATCCACTCACTGTCTACTGGTTCCGGGAGGGGGATTCACACAGGGATGATCCTGTGGCCACAAACGACCAACAAAGACAGGTGAAGAGAGAGGCCTTGGGCCGATTCCACCTGCTTGGGAACCCCAGTGACCTGAAGTGCTCCCTGGGCATCAGACGTGCTAGACACACAGACCAGGGCAACTACTTCTTCCGAGTGGAGCAAGGGTATGTGAAATACAACTACAAGGCCACGATGCTGCGTGTGCTGGTGACAGGTAGGGGAACTGGGACGAGAGCAGGGCACCTGCTCCAGGGCCAAGCGGGGTCCTCTCTGGCCATGCTGCTGGCCACCCTCAGGGTGCCCCATATCCTCAGCACTCACAGAGAAACCTGCCATCCACGTGGCTGAACCACTGGTGTCGGGCCACCCAGGGCGCCTCACCTGCAGCCTGCCGGGAGCCTGTGAAACAACATCCCTCCAGTTCTCCTGGGCAGGAGAGATGCTCGGCCCCTCCCCACCCACCTCTGCAGAGCTCAGCCTCACCCCGGGACCCGGGGACCACGGCAAAAACCTCAGCTGTCAAGTGATACTCCTGGGAACTCTGAGAACCACGGAGACGACCATCTGCCTCAACGTGTCCTGTGAGTGGGGCCTGGCAGTGTCGGTCAGGGGGGTCCCAGAAACGGGGGTCCCAGGCAGTTGCGGTCCCAGAGGTGGGGGGCCTAAAGCACCATCTCTTCCACTTAGGGGTTCCAGCAGTGGGTTCCTGGGACTGGGGTGATGTGCAGAGGGACAGTGAGTGGGGATTTGGCTCCTGGGGCCCTGTGCCTGGATCTGATCTCAGAGGGACATGTGTGGCGCTTCTCGGATGTGTGAGGGTTCACCCTGACCTCTCTTCTGACACTGTTCTCTGTACTCCAGATCCCCCACAGAACCTCACCACCCACATCTCCTTCGAAGCCACCTCAGGTAGGAGGGACCCGGAGAGTGGGAGTGGGGGCGACCCCAGTGACCCAGCACCTCCTCCACCCCAGGGTGCCTCTCAGGGCTCTCACTAAAGCCCCATTTGACCATCTTCGCTCTGTAGACACCCAGGACCCTATTTCCCAAAGCCTGAGAGGCAGGTGTGTGCATGTAGATGAGTGCATATATGTTTATGTGCATGTATATAAACTGTGCTGCATGTGTCCATGTATGTGTCCATGCGTGTACATGTATTTCATATGTGAATGTGCACATACTGTGTACATGTGTGCATGTGCATTGCATATGTTTGCACATGCATATGTGTACAGTGTGTGCACATGTATGTGTGCATTAGTGTATGCATTATGCATGCATGTATAGTATGTGTGCATATACAGTATATGTGTGTACATGTACTATGTGTGTATGTGTGTACAGTGTTATGTGTACATGGGCAGTGTGTGTATGTGTGCATTACTGTGTGTGCACAGAGTTTATGCATGCACGTGTGTGCGTATGAATGCCCATGTGTTCACATGGTATGTCTTGGTACTCTCCATCAAACAGCCCAGGCATGTCCTACTGAGACACTGAACATCGTTTCAGACAGGACCCCCCACTTTTGGCCCTACCCAACCTTTGTGGGTGCAAAGTCTCAGCTGAGGCAGAGTGAGGAGAGGAGAGCAGGAGGAGCCCTGACCCGGGCTCTCCCGCCTTACCTCTCTCCTCCTCTCCCCAAAGTCCTGAAGATCAAGAAATCCACCTCAGCCCTATCAGTTCTGGGGGGCCAGACGGTGTGGCTGCTCTGTGGAGCTGACAGCAACCCCCCTGCAGAGCTGAGCTGGTTTCCCAGGTCCCCAGGCCTGAAGGCCACCACCCTCTCCACCAACACGGCCAAGCTGGAGCTGAGGCTTCCAGAGACCACAGAAGATGCGGAGTTCAACTGCCATGCTCAGAACCCTCTGGGCTCCCGGAACGTCTCTCTCAGGCTGTCTGTGCTCTGTGAGTGGGGTGGGGGAGGGATGGGGTGGGAGTGACACCTGGGTCCTGGGGAGGGGCCGCGCACCTGACGCTCCCCCTCCCTCCCACAGCCCCTCTGCAGCTGCTGGGCCCCTCCTGCTCCTGGGAGGCCCAGGACCTGCGATGTAGCTGCTCCTCCTGCGCCCGGCCCGCCCCTGCCCTGAGCTGGTGGCTGGATCAGCGGCTGCTGCCGGAGAACCGCAGCAACGCCTCCTTCCAGGTCACCTCCAACACCGAGGAATACTGGGCCAACAGCTCCCTGAGCCTCCGGAAGGGGTTCGGCGCCGGCCTCCCGGTCCGTTGCGAGGCCCGGAATGTCCAAGAGAGGCAGAGCGCCTGGGTCCTGCTGCAACCAGGTCGGGTCGTGGCGGGCGGGGAGGGGCAGGGCAGGGCGTGTACGTCTAGAGAAGGTGGAGGCGGGGCCTAGGGGCGGAGCCTAATGGGTGTAGACGACGTGGGCGGGGCGGGGCGTCACTGTCCGTCCGGAAGAAGAGGGAGCCGGGCCGAGGGGCGGAGCCCAGTTAGTGGGTGTGGCCTACGGGGCGAGGCAGGGCGGGGCGTGACCATCCGTCCGGAAGAAGGTGGAGCCGGGCCCGAGTGTAGGAGCCTGGTGGGGGGGAGTGCGGTCGACGGGGCGGGGCGTGTCGGTCCGTGAAGGTGGAGCACGGCCGAGGGGCGGGGCCTGGAGGCGGAGGCCGCCGGATGCGCAGGCGCCCTAGCGGAGGTGGGGCGGTGGCGAGGCTCTGTGCGTCTCTCTGCAGGCAAGCCCGAGGCTCAGTCTGCGGCAGTTATCCCGATTCTCGGAGCTGCCGGTGTCCTGACTCTGCTGTCCCTCTGCTTGTGCCTTGTGGCTGTCGCCTGCGTGTAAGCACATCCAGGGTGGCTCATGGAGCGGAGCGGTGGGGAGAGCGGGGCAGCCCCCGTCCTGGCGGGCAGCGCCCAGCGGGCCGGGTCTAAGTGGGGGTCTCCGAGAGCCAGCCCTGATGTCGTCACTCGATCCGCTTCTCCTGCGCGCGAGTCTCGGCACCATTGTGTCCACTCCCCAGTTCTCTCTCCTGAGCCCCAGATCTAAAGGAAGTGTCCCTCCCCTTCTGGACCACCGTGCCCCCATCCCGAGCCCACCACGGAGCCACTGCCCGTCCCCCTGGACGGATTGCGCCATCTGTGCGCGGTGATGCACTTCTTCCAGTAGCATGGCGGGGTTTTCTTTTCTCACCCTCTTTTCGGTTTGGGGTCCACATCCAGCGATGTGGCTCCTGGCTCTGTGCTCAGGGCCACTCCCGGCGGGGCACAGCGTTGCCAGGGATCAGACCATTCAAGGTCAACACCTTCCCCACTGCCCTGTCTCTCCAGCCTCGCCTGGCATTTTTATTTCTACCTGTGGCATATGTCAGGACTTCTTTAGCATTTCCGAATCGCTTGTTCCTTTGGAGCACATTTCGCCTGTCCGTTTCACCCATGCTTGGGATCTTCCCACTATTTTTTATTGGGTGGGGGGGTGGAGAGGCACATCCAGCAGTGTCCACGGGCTATTCCTGGCTCTGTGCTTAGGGATCCACCTGGGTCAGCCATGTGTAAGGCGAATAAGTGCCTTGTCCCTGTCCTCTCTCTCCTGTGTGACTGCCATGACTGGCAGGGCAGTTGTCTAGGCCTGTCACAAGTGTCCTGGTGACAAGTTGCAGTCGTAGACAGCTCTGTGCTCCTGGAGGACAGTGCTGGCTCCAGCCTGGCTCCAGTCACCTGGTCAGTGCTCAGAGCAGTAGCTGCCCCCTTTTGCACACCTGGGCCAATAGAATCATTTTTTCCCTAGGGTGAGAGCTCGCAGGAATGTGGTCAGCGCAGGATCAGGGGCCATGGCCAATGAGGACCCCGTCATGGACTCTGTGGCCTGGGTGAGTGCGGGCATTGTTGCCACACAGAGGGCAGCCAGGGTGCCCAGGCACCGGGCCTACACTGAGCATTTCTTCCCCCACACCTCCCTGCTTCACCCACTTTAAATTCCCTCTGCGTCCACTTCCTCCCCCGGCATCAGGGGTCAGCCTCCCTCCTCCTCCCTGCTGACCCCAGAGCCCACCTTCACATCTCTCCAAATCTGCTGCTGTCCTTCCATGTCTGGGCTTCACCTTGCCACAGCTCCCAGGCATTTTTCTTGGGCCAACCAGGCCATGAGCGTCTGTACATTGCTCCTCCCTGTCCCCCCTTCTCCCAGCAGCCACATGTCTTGACCTTTTGGCTCCAGTGTCATTTTCCATTCTTCCAGGCCCCCTTCTCATCTCTCTCCTTGCCCATCGCTCCCCACTAGAATGTCCTTGTCGCTCGTGCCCATCGCTGTCCCAAATCTGTGACACTTTCCCTTTTCTGGTCCTCTCACCTGCCTGCCTTGTGAAGTCCCTTGAGAGCAGGGGCCGTGACTGTCACTCACTCTGTCACTCCATCCGCTGGCCAGCATCTTGCTCTTCCATCTCTGTGCAAGTGAGTCGTAGAGAAAAGGATTCTCCAAACTGCTGGGTCTGCTAAGCAATTGCTCCCGCCATGTTCACTCTTATGCTCGTTTTATTCATCAGCCTTGACCCCACTACCCCAAGTTCTGACTTAAGACACCAAACATTGGTGATGGTCATCCCTGCCCTTGTTGACCCCTGGCCACTGAGGACCACCTGCTCCGGATCTTCTGTCATGAGTCACAGACATGCTTGCCTGAAATAGACCGCTGACTTCATTGCTGCTTCTCTGCCAGAGTGCTCCTTCTGAGCCTGCCCCATGTCTTTTTTCCTGGACTGTCTTAGTAGACTCAGCTTGTATTGAGGGACATTTGAGGAATTTGCTGTTTTGAACATTCTTACCCTGCCCTGTGGTATTCATGCAATTTTCGTCCTTTGGCATTTCTTCAGAACCTACTTATCTAATGACCAGACTATGGGCAGTGTGACTGTCCATAAGACAACATCATGACCAGCAGCTTTTCAAATCCCTTGCATTCATTTATTCATATCCCCATCTATACCTTTCAGATTTTGATAATCAGTCATTTTCCTGGTTTTTTTTTTTGTTTGGTTGATTTGGGGACCAACATGGCAGTGTTCTGGGCTTGCTCCTGGCTGTGTTCAGGGATCATTCCTGGTGGGGATCAGGGGACCATAGGTGGTGCGGGGAATAAGACTTGGGGCAAGTGCCCACCCCACTGTCCTGTCCTTCTGACTCCCCAGTCATCTGGTACGTAGGTTTCTCTATTTTTTCCCCTGGCCCTCCCCTGCAGTGTCGTTGGTTGGTTTAAACAGGGATAAAGATCCTGACATCATGATTTGCCTCTGACCGTCTCTTCCATAAAACACCTGATCACATCCAACTCTGGTGTTCAGCTTTCCCTAATGAATTTCTTGGCAAGTTTTACACATTTTAGCACTAATTTTTCTGGTTATATGCCGTGTACATGTTTTCTACCCATGGCTATCTTGTCTCCACTTTATTTTTTAAAAGGGGCCTCTGGTGAAAATAAGTTCTGTTCTATGACAACCATTTTTACCACTTTTCATTCTTTATCCATGCCTTAAGGGTCTTATTCAAGAAAGTTGTTCTTGTTCTAGCGGGAAAGGCTTTTTAAGTTTAATGCCTCATCTCTGTGGCCTCTGTTCTATTCCAGAGGTCAATTTTTTTTTTGTCTCCATTCCTACTCCAGGACCTAAAGGAGACACAGGGTCCATAGGATTGAAAAATAAGTCCTGGTAACTGATCAAGCAAGACCTCACCCTGAAACTCTTTCAGAATCTTCCATCTTGGCCCTTCACTGTTCTTTGTAGAGTTAGAATAAGGTTTTTTTTTTCCAGTTCCCAAAACTGTTCCTGTCACTGTCTTTTAAACATTTCAATTAACCTTTTGGGGGTTAGGGGGTTGGGTCACACCCAGCGGTGCTCAGGACTTATTCCTGGCTCTGCACTCAAGAATCAGTCATGGCAGGCTTGGGGAACCATAAGGGATATCGAGGATCAAACCAGGTCACTGCATGCAAGGCAAATATTCTACTTTCTGTACTAGTGCAGGTTCCCATCCTGTCGCTGTTCTCTTTCTTTTTTTTTTTTCAATGTCTTCCACAATGTCAGCTTCTCATGCTGCCAACTGTCTTCGTTCATCTTTAGGTGCAGAATGAATGAAACACAGTTATATTCTAACTGAGCTGATATTCTTTCATCTTGCTAACTTGCTAATAACTTGCCTATAGACCTCAAAGCATCCTCACCCCTTTGCTGCCTGTGTACGGGTGAGAGAGCTGCCTGCCTTGTGCATGACTGACTCAGGCTCAACCCCTTGCAATTTGATGAGCCTGATTCCCAATGCCCAGCACCCCATATGGTCCCCTGAGCACCACCACCCAAGACTGGTGGGTGTGGTTCACAGAGATCCTGCCAATTGAGACTTCTGTGTTTTGGTTTAGTTTATTGAGCTAGTTGGCTTCTCTGTTACTCTCCCATCTAGCTTGGCAGTGCTCTTACTGGGATGTCAGTGCTGTGGAGTTGGAGATGTTGCTGATCCCTGAACTCTAGGACCTATAGAACTGGGCCGAACAGATGAGTTTACATGGCGGCGACTGTGGGTTGTGGCTGTGGCTGCCAGGGCATCTGAGAGTACTGGGGGGCACGGCTGCCACCCACACTGCTTCCTGGGTATTTCTAATCTGAGCTGTATCTTCTCTTGTGTCCTCCAACATCCTCTCTCTTTCCATATATGGCAAGGAAATGGATGCATGTTCTAATTTCCTCTTTTTGGAAAGGAAAACACACCTGTTTCTTTACTGTCATTTCATCTTGTTCAAGTCTAATAGGAGGAACCTCTACATCGCTCTGCTTTCTTTTTTGGATGTTGTGAGAAAGTATTTTTTGTTTTGGGGGGCCATATCTGGTGATACTCAGGGGTTACATCTTGCTCTATACCCAGGACTCACTCCTGATGATGCTTTGGGAACCATAAGGGATGCTGGGGATTAAACCTGGGTTGGCTTCATTCAAGACAAATGCCCTGCATGCCGTGCTATCACTCTGGCCCCTGTAAGACCAATTTCGACCATTCTGGAACTCTTTTCTTCTTTGGAAGGTGGTGGGGGGTAACACCCAGAAGTGCTCAGGAATGACTCCTGGGTCTGTGTTCAAGGATCCTCTCTGATGCTTTGTGGACCATATGGAGTACTGGGGGTTGAGCTGGGGTCAGCCACCTGCAAAGCCAGTGACTACCCAGCTGTGCTACCTTTCCAACTCCTTTGAAATCTACTATTTGGAGGCTAATGTTGCTTCTGACATATTTTACCCCATAGTGTGATGGGGTGAGTGGCAGGTGGGGAGAGGGCGGGAACCACTCTGCACAGTGACTGGATGGTGTCTCTGAGGTCCCATGGCTCCTGCTCTGTCTCTGTATTCTGGGTCCTGCACCCACGGTCTAAACTGCCATCTCTGGTCTGCTTTCTGCACCAAATTAGTTCATAAATGTACCAAAGTGTGCTGGCTCCCTTTTCACCCTGTCCCCCGTGTGTCAGCTGCTGGCCAGGGCCCATGGCCGCATTCTGTTAACTGTCCTCTCATCCAATTCCTGCCGTGCAGGGTGGGGGTGACCACAGGTGAGTTCCTTTACCTCCCCATCCTGGCTCTGTTTCCCGTGTCTGTAAAGTGGGGACCACGTGGGTGTCCGTCATACTGGGCTGTGGCTTGGGGGAGGGTAAAATCCCATTTATTCATCCCAGATGTGGTCCAATCAGCAGCCCTGGTTAGGAGAGAGAAGTTGCTTTTGGGGGGAACGTGTGCAGAACAGGAAGACAAGTGGTTAACTGTCCCGCCAGACTCACTTCATTGGGGGGCCTGGGAGCCTTTACTTCTCTCTCACCCCCTTGTAACCCCAACACAGGGCTCCAGGACAAAGCACTGGCCAGATAGCCCCCCAGACCAGATGTGCCCCGAACCAGGGGAGGCACAGGAACTCCACTACGCCAATCTCAGTTTCCATGAGAGGGCGGAGAGGGAGCCTCAGGACCGCGAGGGCTCCGAGCGCACCGAGTACTCTGAGATCAAGACCAGCAAGTGATGGTCAGGACTCCGTGCTGATGCCTGCCTGGCCTCAGGGCTGCTCATGCTCGGCTCCCAGTGGGCCCAAACACAGCACTGGCCTCAGACCAGGGTCCCTGCAGGCCCCAGCCCTGCCCAGCAGCGACTGCTCTATCCCTCAGTTCCCCTTCCAGAGACCCAGCAATGACACAGTGACTTTGAAGGCTGTTGGCGCCATGGAAGAATCAAGTGGAGACAGCGCTGGTGGCATGGTCTCCTTCCTCCAACAGAAAGACCTTGCCAGCAAGTCCCCTGAGATGCGGGTGACCCAGGGTCTGAGCATGTGTGGGCATTGTTCTCTTTCCCGGATCCTGTGAGGAACAAGACTGGCCCCTCTGAGGACTTCTGGTTCCCCAGCTGGAGATCCTCTGCCCTCTAGGTGTTCCAATCCCCCTCAGCTGTCGACTGAGTACATCCTTTCACTAGGTCACCTCTGGCCCTTCCGTTTGTCACCCGTGGACACTGATAGTTGATGTGGACCCTCCTGAGGGCCCTGGCACATTGACCAGGACAATGCGGAGTAGCAGGCCCCAGCTTGTGTTCCTGTGACCCCACTGCTGTTGACACTCCTCTGCAAGCAGCCCTTCCCCTCATTAAACTTTTGCTGCACTGACTTGGCAATTCGAGATGCCTTCCCCAGAGACTTTCAGCAGAGTCCCTCCATTGTTTTCCTTTGTGGGGGGCAGGAGGTGGGAATTTTGGGCTATGCCTGGTGATGTCTAGGGGTCACTCCTGGGCTGTGCAGTGGTGGACACTTGTGAGCCAGACGCTTAACTCTCACACTATCTTTGCAGCACTGGTTCACACCATCTCACCCTTCAAAACTGAGTTCCTGGACAAATTTGGGTTAAGGGCCAGATTGATGGCACAGTAGAGAGGGCACTTGTTTGCACATAGCTGACCCGGATGGAATCCTGGCATCCCATGTGGTCCCCAGAGCCCGCCAGGAGTGATCCTTGAGTGCAGATCCAGGAGTAACCCCTGAGTACCACCAGGTGTGGTCCAATAACAAAATACAAAGTAAACAAACAAAAATTTGGGTTGAGGGTATACTGAAGAAATGACGTCTTTAAGTTGAAGTCATTTGAGGCTGTTTTTTTTAAGGAAATAACTAAGAGGCTAGAGAGATAGTACAGTGGGGAGTGAGCTTGTCTTGCACATAGATGACCTGGGTTCAACCCCCAGCATCCCATAGGGTCCCCTCTGCCCCCAATGGGACTGATCCCTAAGTCAGAACTAGGAGTAAGCCTGAGCACCACCACGTGTGACAAAAAAAAACAACAGCAATATACACACACACATATATCACTAAAATAAAAGCAGCACAGTTGTGTCAGATATGCCATGTTAGCTCACTAGGGCGAATGTTTCTGAGACTCCATTTAGAGATACACATTGGCAGCTTCAGAGCTAAATCCAGGATCTTCAAACTTCAGACTTCAGAAAACCCCAAGTGACCTGGAGAAAAGACCCTGCTTTTCCTTTTCCTGTGCCCTGTTCCCTGCTCTTATGTTTTTTTTTCTTTTTGGGGTGCTACACCTGGTTGTACTCATGAATGACTCCTGGCTCTGTGCTCAGGGATCCTCCTGGCATAGATTAGGTGCTCGTCATCCAACTGGGATCAGTTGCCTGCAAGGCAAGCACCTCACCTGCTGTCCTATCTCTCAGCGCTCTTACATTTTAAATCACCAGTAAAGAACTGACACATGAAAACCTGCCCTCCTTGAATCCAGCACAGGAAGAATGCTAATTCCAGCTGGTGCAAACCAGCATAATGACTACTGGGTCAGAGGAAGTGTCTGTGGACCCAGGTGAGTCCCCAAGGCATTCTAGCCAACAGTATCACAGCAGTAGGCTGGGACCCACACAGAACCAGCCCCAAAACCCAAACATACCGAGAGGGCTCTGCAAGTAGCTGGGAGAAGGTGCTGGGAGCTCGACCTGGGAGACTCTGGGTCCCATTAGAGTCCCCCTTATTTGGAAGGTTGCTCTCTCCTCCTGCTTTCTGCTGCCATCATCTTCTTGGACTGTTTTAGACAGAAAACCCAGGCAGAGCACATCAACTGCTCCTCTGGTTTCCTTTGGAACCTGGCATAGCTTCCTTTGGAACTGTGCATTCTTCGTGGTGGTGGTGATGGTGGTGGTGGCTGGGTTGTGTGTGACAGCCCCAGCCTCTGAGTCAACAGTGCATCAGCGATGCAGGACCCCCTTCAGGTGCCTGTGGCCTCCCTGAATCTCAGCCTTCCACTGTTAAAAGAGAATCACTAACAACTCTTTTTTGGATTAGCTGGGATGATTAAATGGGCAGATACAGAGGAAGACACAACCAGGAATCTGGTAGGCCTTCATAGAACTTCGTCCCTTCCTAATCTCTTACCTAAACGGGCGACTCCAGCGCAGGTCTCCCACTGAAAGTGTGGTGTGGACCTTCAGCAGCAACATACCCTGGGTGCTCAGATCACAACTTTGATCTCACAATCTTCACTTGCAACTGTGAATTCCAAAGAACTCTGGGCAACCAAAAGGATGAGGGGGAAAGGAGAGATCAGTCCAACCCATTCTCACCTCCTGCTTCTGTCCTTCCCACGGGTATCCCAAACTTATAGGGGGGTTCTGTCCTTTTATTTTTTTATTTATTTTGCTTGTTTTTTAGTTTTTGGGTCACACCAGGCAAAGCTCAGGGTTACTCCTGGCTCTGCACTCAGAAATCACTCCAGGCAAAGACCATCTGAGATGTCAGGCGAGACCAGTGCCCTCCTCACTGTACTATTGCTCCATCCTGGGGGGGTGGGGCGAGCAGTCTTTCTGAAGAGACTGGGACTGGGGCAGAAGTCACTGGACCATCACTTCATGCTGTTCTACTTTGTGCCCAGGCCACTTGCCAGCACCACGGACAGCGCCGAGGACTTTGCGCCCCCTGGAGGCAGCAGTGGGACCTGCAAGAGGGCCGGGGACAGTGCAGGTGACCCTGACAAGACGGTGTGAAAGTGAATAACAGGGAGGAGGCCAGAGCGACAGTACAGCGGGTAGGACACTTGCCTTGAACACGGCTGTACAGGATTCAATCCCTGGGACCCCATAGGGTCCCCTGTGTACACCAGAAGTCAGTCCTGAGCAGGAGTCAGTCCGAAGCAGCCAGGTGTGGTCCCAAAACAAAAACCTACCAGAACCTTCCAGTTCTGTAAGGTCCAGCTCAGCCCAGCACTGACCCCTACAGTTCCCCTGAGCAGCGGATCATTCTCCGACATCGCTCTCACTGTCCTCAAGAGGGCAGGCTTCACCGTACTACATTCCAGAGAGTGGAATTTACTACAAAAGTACCAAAAATACAGAAAACAAGCAACAGGGGTCCGTTTCAACCAGAAAAACACCGTCACCCGGTGGTCCCCAACCCCATGCACCAACTCACACGACCCCCTTCCGCATCCCCCTAATCTCTCTCTCATCAGTAGGATGCATCACTCACTGCACACATACCTCATCCTTCGCCCCCCGCCCACCCGCCGACTACGCTCAACACTCACCCCCAAGCTGATTTAATCTCTCTGACCCCCCAAAACTCTCCATCACTGACGTTCGAAATCGTTTGAGAATCCAGCAATCCGGGTCAGAAGCAGCTGACAACTGAAGTGCATTGCTTCCTGTTTCTAAATCTTTAGAAACAATTGGGGTTTCATGAAATAGATAGGCGTTTCTGAGCCGGCCACCGAGGTATACGCATGCGCACTAGAATATTTGCAGCCACAGTGTGCCAGTAGCTATCATGGCGACCTTATAACTGCTTAAGCGGCTGTCATTGCCCCGCCTAGTAGGGTAACAATGGAGGCCGCCATCTTCACATAACCCGTTCCGTACAGTGAAGGAAAGTTACTTGCAAAGGCAGAGTCAAGTTTCAGGGTTAACCTAAAACTGCGAGAGACTTATTCCATATTTGTCTTTGGGGAGATGCATCACAAGGATATAAGACATTACCCAAAGGAGCAAGAGCCTGAGAGTGAATAAGTGAGGGAAAAGTGTGGCTGGAGAGATAGTACAGCTGGTAAATCACTTGCCTTGCACGTGGTTGACCCAGGTTCAATTCCCAGCATCTCCTATGGTCCCTTGAACACCACCAGGTGTAATTCCTGAGCGCAGATCCAGGCATAACCCCAGGTGTGATCCAAAAACAGAGAGAGAGAGAGAGAGAGAGAGAGAGAGAGAGAGAGAGAGGAGACAGGCAGCCACAGCCATCACCCTGTCCTCTTTGTTGACTCCTTCCTTGACTAAATGAAGGATCCTTGACCTTCTTGACCCCAAAAGAGGCCAGAAGATTCTGAGTTTATGCCCCTCTGTAGAACAGGGAGTGACCTGAGCTCAGTTACAGCACCACAGACAGCGCCAGCTCCAGGCTGGTTCCTAGAGTGGAGAGTAGATGGCGCACTTAGGTAGGTGGGTAAACAGCCTGCAGCACAAAGCTGAAGGAGTCCAGGGGGCAGGATCTGACTCGGAGTCACCGTGATTGTGTCTTTCCAACCCCTCTCGTCTGTGTGGGGTGTACAGGCAAGGATTCTTTTTGAGGGGGCCCAGACCACACCCGGCAGTGCTCAGGGCTCTTTCTGGGCCTTGCATTCAGGGATCACTCCTGGCTGTGCTCAGGAACCATATGCAGTTCTGGGGATTGAACCCAATTAGCGGTAGGCAAAGCAAGTGCCCTACCTACTGTACTATCACAGGCACTGCCAGAGTGATCCCTGAGCACAGAGCCAGAGTAACTTCTGAGCACCTCTGGCTGTGCCCAGAAACTAAGTTTAGGTGTGGGGAATAGCAAAGGAGCCATTAAAGGAGAGGAGGAGGGGCCTGAGAGTTAAAAGGCGGGTAAAGGGGTTTGACTGGCTCCCTAGGATCTTGGTACAAATCTCCCGAACTGCAATGGGTTCCCTGAGCACTGCCAGGGATCACTCCTGAGCATTGTGGCCCGGAATAGATCCTGAGCATTGTTTCCCTCCCTGCCCCCCCCAAAAAAAAGAAGAGGGAAAGAAAAGAAAGAGAGAAAGAAAAGAAAGAAACATGGGGGAGGGAGGAAGAAAGACACAGAGGGGGAAGGAAGATGTTTCTCGAGACCGCAGCAAGATGGTTTGGGAGACATGAGTCCACTGTAGGGCACTTGCCTTGCATATGACCACCCTGAGTTTGATCTCTGGCGATGCACAGGGTCCCCTGAACCTGCTAGGAGTGATCCTTGACTGCAAAGCCAAGAGTAAGCCCTAAGCTCAGCAGGATGGGGTCCAAAAACCAAATAAAGCTCCTTCTTGGCCCACCCCTAATATTGCCGTGGTTGATCGTGGATCTGGACCTTGTGGGTGAAGATTCCACCCAGCTCCGTGGTTCACACTGGGAGGGAGTCTCCTAGCCTGAGGGGTGATCCAACAACGCCCAGGGGCTGCCTGAGGAGCACTTCGAGGCTTTTCTGCTTTGCTCGTACATGGTGAGTTCTGGAGACAAACATCACCTCAGAAACCTGTGTCAGCAGCCAGAACCAACCCCCAGGGGACAAGGGATGGAGACTGAGTGCCAGAGGGATGCAGCATCTCAGGAGGAAGTTCTTACTGAGGGGGGCCAGTCCCCTGTCCTCAACACCCGTTGGGCAGTTCTGGCACGTCAGGAGAGGATGGGGGTCTAGAGACACAGTACAGCAGATATGGTGCATCCTGGCACATGGCTGACCCAGGTTCAATCCTTGGCATCGTCCCATAGGGCCCCCTGATCCCCACCAGAAGTGATCGCTGAGCACAGAGCCAGGAGTCAGCCCTGAGAACTGCAAAGTGTGCCCCCCCCCACACACACACACACAAAACAAGCAAACAGAAAGAGCTGAAAGGGCTGGTGCACAGGTTTGTATATGAGGCCTAAATTTCATCCCCTGCACCTCATGGTCCCTTCAGTACCATAAGGGGTGGCTCTGGGGACTCCGGAGCACCAGCAGACCTGAGCAGCACCTCATCATGGACTGGGCCCGGAACCAAGTGGCAGGTGCTGAAAATCAGCGAGTGCAGGCGTGGCCCAGGGCTCTTCCTGAGCATTGCTTGGGCATCTTGGGCATCTGCCCCCAGAAAGACTGGCCGAGGCCACACCCCATTCCCCCTGCTGCACCCCCCCACTACAACTGCCTCCACCAGGAACCCCCATCAAACAGTGGGTTGTGAACTTTCATTTCTGCTTTCCCCAGAGTCCACGTGCAGGGGAAGCCACCACAGACCCAGCCCCTAATGCTAGCTACCCCCAGGGGACTCAGAGGGTGGCAGGCACCCTGGGCGTGGCAAGGAGGCAGCGCTAGGACCAGTTCCCCCGGGCTTCTCCAATCAGAAGTCCCTCTCGTGACTAGGTTCCCCAGATCCTCAGCGTCCCCAACTCCCCCGTCACTTTCCTCTGCCCTGCTCAGAGACAGGTTGGGTGCTGGGGAGTGAAGCTGCCTGACTCCAGCGTGGTGGCCCTGCCCTGTACTCTCCTGGGACAAAGCTGAGATGGTCCTGCTGCTGCTCCTGGCCATGCTGTGGGGTGGTGAGTGGCCGGGGCCAGGGACAGGGGGCTTTGGGGGTGGGGGCTGAGCTGAACCTCCATCTCCTCTTAGGGTCACAGGCTCAGAACCCAAATTATAAGCTGAACATGCAGGCAGACGTGAAGCTACAGAAGGGCCTGTGTGCATTTTTGCCCTGCACGATCACCTACCCCAAAGATCACTGGGAGGAGGAGACCACAGCTTGTGGCTACTGGTACCGAGAGGTGCCCCCAAAGAGTCCTATTCTCGTGGCTACCAACTGCGAGTCTGAAAAGGTGCATCAGAGCACCAAAGGGCGGTTCCAGCTTCTGGGCGATCCCAGTGACTGGAGCTGCTCCTTGCTCATCAAGGACGTCCAGGAAAGTGACTGGGGTGTATATTACTTCCGTGTGGAGAGGGGCCCCAAAGTGCGCTTCAATTACATGAACTACAAGCTCCTCCTGCAAGTGACCGGTATGGAGGGGCGGGGCCTCCCCAAGGGCCACCCCAGGTGTTCCCCAGCTAGTGCTAGTGGCTAGGATGCCCCCCCCACCTTCTCAGATCTGACCCAGAAGCCCGACATCTACATCCTTGAGCCCCTGTGGCCGGGACGTCGGGGGACCGTCATCTGTGTGTTCAACGCGACCTCTGAGAAGTGTCCAGCCCCCACCTTCTCCTGGGAGGGGGCTGCCGTCTCCTCGAGGAGGACCCAAGCCAGCACCCACATGTCCTCGGTGCTCACGCTCGAACCCAGAGCCCAGGACCGCAGCATCGACCTCACCTGCCGTGTGCGCTTCGCCCCAAGCGGCGCGCGTGCAGAGAGGACCCGGCAACTGGAAGTGGCCTGTGAGAAGCTGGCGGGCTGCGGGACTGCGTGGAGGGGAAAGGGGGTGTGGTGCAGAGCCAGGCGGGGTGTGGGAGGACCGCGCTGTCCAAGCGTGCCCCCATCACTGGCTGCGGGGAGCCCCGCGTGCCTCTCCCAAGCCACCTTCCTGCTTACAGATTCCCCCAAAGACCTGGTCATCAGCGTTTCTCAGGCGGAAGGGGCAGGTAAGGCACCAGGCTTCCCTCGGGGGGCGGGCGTGGAGTGGGTGGGGAAGGCGCTCGGGAAGCTCCCCCGCCTCTGTCTCCGCAGCCCCGCAGCCCCAGGGAAGAGACTCCCCCCTTCCACTGCAGGCCCGGAAAGGGCAGTTTCTGCAGCTGCTCTGTGAGGCCGACAGCAAACCCGACGCCACTCTAAGCTGGGCCCTGGAGGACCGAGTGGTGTCGTTCTCCCGTCCGCAGGGCCCCAAGGCCCTAGCGCTGGTGCTGCCCGCTGTGACCGAGCGAGACGCGGGGACCTACACCTGCCGGGCCGAGAACCTGCTGGGCGCGCAGAGTCGCGCGCTCCACCTGGATGTGCAGTGTGAGTGCGGCGCGGAGGGGGCCGGGGCTAAGAGGTGGGACTGGCCAATTGGAGGGCGGGCCTGAGGGGGTGGGCGGGGAATTTGGACCAATACGGGGCCATCAGGAAGGGGCGAGTCTGGGGCGGGGCAAAAGGGGCAGCATCTCGGAGCTGTCAGGAACCCAAGCCCAGTTCCCACGTGGGGATCCCTCAACCCACACACATTTACACACCCAACCAAGCACTTCTCTGCAACTAAACCGGGCGTGAGAATTGAGAACTCAGTTTTGTGCTCTAAGGGGTCCACAGGATAGGGGCTCTGCCCCCCAGGGCACTCCTCACTGGGCTGGTGACCCGCTCTGAACCCGGGGAGAGTACACTTGTGACTAGCGGTTACTGTGAAGGACCGAGATTCCGGTGGGAGAGATGAGAAGCCCGCTGAGATGAGGTGCCTCCAGGCCCCTCCAGTGCCAGCCTCAGCTCACCAGCTCCCACACACAGGCGACTGTAGCTCCCACCTATTATTGGCCACTGGTTCAGTCTCAACCCAAATTCTGGCCATGGAATTGGTTCCCCTGGCACCCAGCCCCCAACTTCCTGCTTTTTCCCACCCTTCCCCAAGTCACTTCATTAGGACGCACGCCTGTGCTTGTGGAGGGAGGTTCACTAGCCAGGTCAGACCACAGCAGGTAATGTATTTGCCTTGCATGGGTTGATATCCGTTTAATCTTCGAAAACTGCCAGGAGTGCTCCCTGAGCACAGAACCAGAAGTAACCCCTGAGTACTGCCAGGTGAGTTCCCCACCCCCACCCCCCAAAAAAGAATTACAGTTTGCTCTGTCAGGACCCCTTAGGTTTCAAGGTTTTAAAGGCAGTTTGTGGTTGAGCAAACATCTTGCATTAGATCCTGGTACTGGGGGCATTTGGTCTCCATGATTTTAAGAACTTTCATTTCTTTTTCTCCTGTGATTCAGGGTATGAATCCCAGGATCTCCCTTACTGGAGATCTGTAGCACTGTAGCACTGAGTAGAGATTTCTTTTCTTTTTTTTTTAATTTTTTATAAGTGAATCACCGTGAAGTACAAACTTAAAAACTTTCGTGCTTGCATTTCAGTCATACAATGATCAAGTACCCATCCCTTCACCAGTGCCCATTTTCCACCACCAATAGTCCCAGCATCCCTCCCACCACCCCCATCCCATCCCCTCCACCCCACCCTGCCTCTATGCAGGGCATTTCCTTTTGCTCGCTCTCTCTCCTTTTGGGTGTTGTGGTTTGGAATAGAGGTACTAAGTGGCCATCGTGTTTGGTCTATAGTCTACTTTCAGCCCGCAATTCCCATCGGGAATGGGCCCTCCTAACACCCTTTACTTGGTGGTTCCTTCTCTATCTGAGCTGCCTTTTCCCCCAGCATGTGAGGTCAGTTTCTAAGCTGTAGAGTAATCCTCCTGGTAATTATCTCTACTATTCTTGGGTGTTAGTCTCCCATTCTATTACCTTATGTTCCACAAATGAGTGCAATCTTTTTATGTCTGTCTCTCTCTTTCTGACTCATTTCACTTAACATGATACTTTCCATGTTGATCCACCTATATGCAAATTTCATGACTTCTTCTTTTCCAACAGCTGCATATCCATTGTGTAGATGTACCAAAGTTTCTTTAACCAGTCATCTGTTCTCGGGCACTCAGGATTTTTCCAGATTCTGGCTATTGTAAACATTGCTGCAATAAACACATAAGTGCAGATGTCATTTCTACTCTACTTTTTTTTAGCAGAAATTTCTTATTGCAACTCACAGGCCTAAGAGCCCTTCCTGTCCCTTTCGGGGCTGTTATTTAGATTTGGGGGAAGAGCCCACACCCACAGTGCTCAGGGGCACTCCTGGAGAAACTAAGGTTGGAGCCAGGGTCTCTGGCACAGTAGCCAGTGCTCCTTTGGGTGTTCCATATGCTTCAACCCAGAACGCCTTAGTGCTACAACCAGGGCCTTGTCTATTTAGATCCCCCTGAAAACCTGAGAGTGATGATCTCCCTGGAAAACAGGACAGGTAAGAAAGGGGGGCAATGGGTCAAACTTGGGGGCAGCCTCTGGCCTGTGAGCACCAGAGGGTCCCCGAGCCCTCACAGTCCCTCTGTCCTGCTCTCTGCCCGGCACACCACAGTCCTGGAAACCTCCAGCAGAGCCACAAGCTTCGGGGTGCTCCAGGGCCAGAGCCTGCAGCTGCTCTGCGTGGCCCAGGGCAACCCTCCAGCCAATGTGAGCTGGGCTGGGAGCCAGCTGGTGCCGAGCCCTGCGCAGCCCCCGGATCCGGGGCTCCTGCTCCTGCCCCAGGTCCAGCTGGACCAGGAAGGAGAATTCACCTGCACTGCTCAGAACCTGCTCGGCGTCCAGCGCGTGTCTGTGGACATCCGCGTGCACTGTGAGAGCCGTGGGGGCTTCTGCGGCTGGGACCCCCTGGGCCAGGGGCAGAGGGACCCCCCGCTGACGCTGCCCCTCCCTCCCACAGCCCCCCCGCAGCTGCTGGGCCCCTCCTGCTCCTGGGAGGCTCGGGTTCTGAACTGTAGCTGCTCCTCCCACGCCCGACCCGCCCCTGCCCTGCGCTGGTGGCTGGATCAGGAGCTGCTGCAGGAGAACCGCAGCAACGCCTCCTTCCAGGTCACCTCCCGCTCCCAGGGGCCCTTGGCCAACAGCTCCCTGAGCCTCCCGGAGGGGTTCGGCGCCGGCCTCACGGTCCGCTGCGAGGCCCGGAATGTCCATGGATCCCAGAGCGCCTGGGTCCTGCTGCTGCCAGGTCGGGGCAGGGAGGAGGAGGGATGGAGTGGGGCAGCGGGCAGCGCCTACCTCCCACTTGGCGCCTGGGGAGGTCGGGGAGAAGCTCCAAATGGAGAGGTCTGGGCGGGAGAGAGGTCAGGTGCTCCCTTACACACGGCAGACCCCTGCGGCCTCCCCAGCACTGCAGGTCTCCCCAGAACAGCCAGGGGTCACTCCTGAGCACAGACCTGGAAGAGGCTTGAGCACTGCCAGGAGTGCCCCACTAATATAGCACTATAGTTATATTGTTCATTGTTTTCTCTTGTTCATCGGTTTGCTCAAGCGGCCACCAGTAACGTCTCTATTGTGAAACTTCTTGTTACTGTTTTTGGCTTATCAAATATGCCCCGGGGAGCTTGCCAGGCTCTGCAGTGCAGGCAGGATACTCTTGGTAGCCTGCCGGGGCCATCTGAGAGGGACGGAGGAGTTGAACCCAGGTCAGCCATGTGTAATGCAAATGCCCTACCTGCTGTGCTATCGCTCCAGCTACATATGCGTATATGTAGTTCTCTCAAGAGGCTTGACACTGAGGCCTGGGAGACAGAGGTGTAAAGGGCGCTGCAGAGAGAAGCAGCATCCCAGCAGGGTTGCAGGGGTGCACCCCTGGTCCCCGCCTTGACGTCCCCTCCGTCCCCGGGTTCCTGGCGCAGATGAGAAGGGATCCCTATCCAAGGCTTTCTCCAGTGGAGCCCTCATGAGTGGTGGCGTGTCGGCGCTCCTGTGCCTCTGTATCATCCTGATTCTGTGAGTTGGAGTGCAGGATTGGGGGTTGGAGGGACACCTGGCCCAGGAGCGGGTGCGACAGGGGCCATGCGGGCATCTACTCTGTAGAGTGAAGACACTGAAGAGGAAGAAGACGAAAGGGGAGAAGGCAGAGAGGCTGTCCCGGAGGAGCACCATCCTGGACTACATCAATGTGTTTCCCCGCGTGGGCCCCCGGGTGAGTGCCCCCAGGCTGCCCTCCATTCCCAGCTCCAAGGCCAGCTCTCTCCACTACACCCCTCTGTGGGATGGCTCCCTGGGCCGGAGAGTCATCATGGTGCTTTGAGTCCTTAAGGGAGTTACCCCCCACCAATCCCAATCCTTGCAGAGCAGGTTTGGGGGTTAGTACCAGGCACTGTTTCTATCCAGACCCGCTACTCTGCTGCTTTCGTGCTTCTGACATGAGTCATGATCATGCAGGGAGATAGTACAGCAGGGAAAGTGTTTTCTGTTTGTGCAGCTGATCTGCACTGTGCATCACTGGGTGTGCCCCCCCCCCACCAATAAAAGGAAGAGGAGGAAGAGGAGGAGGAAGAGGAAGAGATAAGACTGGAAAGACAGCACCGTGGCTGAGGCAAATGCCTTGCAAGCAACTGACAGGGGTTGGAATTCGGCCCAACATAGGGTCCACTTAGCTTCCCTAGGGGGGTCACTCCTGAACACAGAGCCAGGATTAGTGCCTGAGCATAACTGGGTGAGGGCCCAAAGTCCACCCCACCTCCAATTTTTCTTTTTTGGCCTTTTGGGCCACAACTGGCATGCTCAGGGCTTACTCCTGACTCTGCACTCGGGGGTCACTCTTGATGAGCTCAGGGAACCATATGGGGTGCTGGGGATTGAAGCCGGGTGGGCTGCATGCAGGCAAGCGCCCTTCCTGTTGTACTGCCACTTAAGCCCCCAACTGCAATTTTTCTAATCAAACCAAGGGTGTGATTCCATGGTAGAGCACATGCCTCATGCATGTGAGGCCCTAGGCACAATTCCTCACACTGGGAAAGAAAAAGCAGACAAAGGAACAAAGGAAGCAGGCCACCTCTGCCTGGAGATCCAACCCTATGACAGAAAATGTGCAGCAGGTCATGTAGATCTCTGGGTCAAGAACAGAAACAAAAGAAAAAAAAAAAGAAAAAAAGAGACAGGAATCTGGAAGGGTCATACCTGACTTTCAGGTGTTGGGAGAACAGGAGTCAGAGGTTGGGGTTAGGGAAGGAAGTTGTCGCGAGGGGCGGGAGAGGGCTGGCAGGAGGGCAGTGGGGGGAGGGCACGGGGGCATGTGGTGGCAGCTGGATCCGTTTGCCTGGGCGGCCACAGATGTAAACCACAGACTGGGGGGCAGAAGTAGACACAGGGTTCTTGTTTGTTCCTGTCCCCGCAAGCTCTTGGTTTTGCCCTCCGATGTTGCCCCAGTATCCTGTGTGTGCTTCTTCCGTATCCTGCATGTGCTCAGGGCTGTGCTGAATATTGCATGCATGAGCCAGTGAGCGAGTGATTGCATGCACGAGCCAGTGAGTTAGAGAGTGTGTCTCTGATGCCAGTGTATGAGTGATTGTGTCCCTGATGCCAGTGGATGAGTGATTGTGTGATCATGACCAATGTTCCCTTTCCCCTTAGACTCAGAATCGAGAGACCAAGCCAAGTGGTCCTCAGCCTCCTGTCCCGGCTCCTTCCTCACAAGCCTGGACCAACCGGAAGCAGAAGCAGCAGTGTCCCGTGGGTCCCAGAGGCCACCCAGGACCCACAGCATCCACACAGGCCCTGCAGAGCATCCAGGATGAGGTCCATTACTCAAGTCTCTGTTTCCATGAGTGCCGGGCTCAGGAACCCCAGGAACCCAAAGAGAGGCAAGAGGAGTATGCAGAAATCAGGTTCCGCTGAGCCCGCCGGGACAGAGGGCCGGGGGCCAGGGGGAGAGAACATTAAAGAGAAGGAACCCAGAGAAAAGTCTCCTCAAAAACTAATCCTGGGATCAGAGAGATAGTGCAGCAGGGAAGGTGCTTGCTTTGCTCGTGGTTGACCCTGGTTCAAGTTCCGGCACCAACTAGGGTTCCCTGAGCACTGCCAGGGTGGTCCCTGAGCATAGAGCCAGGAGTAAGGCCTGAGCACCACCAGGTGTGCCCCCCCCCCAAATCCTCCAAGGATGATCCGATCTGCTAGACAAGTCTCTCCTCCAGAACCAAGAAGCTTCTGGAAAAACCCCATCAGGGGCATCATGTCTCACATGCCTCAGAGACTGGCAGTCCCTAAGAGAACATGAGGCAGTTCTCTCTGCCAGCTGGCCAGTGGATCTCCTGGGTGCCTGGGCATCGCCCTGCTAGGAGCAGAACGTTGGTTTGGTTAGTTTACATGTTGAAAGTCCCAGGTGCACACATTAAAAGAGGAAGACCATTTGGTCTTTGGTCTTTTGTTGTTTGTTTTTTACATTTTTTTAAAACTGAAATTTATTTTTTAATTGAATCATGGTGAATACACAGCTACAAAGTTGTTCATGATTGGGTTTTAGTTACATAATGTTCCAAGACCTGTCTCTTCACCAGTGCACAGTTCCCGCCACCAATGGCCCCAGTTTCTTCTTCTCTTTATTTTTCTTCTTTCTCCTTCTCCTCCTCCTCATCTTCCTTCTCTCTTCTCTCTCTGTCTCTGTCTCTCTCTGTCTCTGTCTCTCTCTCCTCCCCTTCCCGCCACTTTTGGGCATTATGGTTTGCAATAACTGAAAGGTTATCAGATATATTCCTTTGCCTATTTCCAACACTTAGTTCCTGCCCAAAGCCATCATTTCCAACTATTACTGTCATACTGGTCCCTTCTCTAGTCTAACTGGCCTCCACCCCCACCCCCCACACACTTGCTGTTGTCTGTTTCCTGGTGATTCCTGAAGAAGAAATTTAAATTTCAGTCACGGTCACGGTCACGGTCACGGTCCTCCCGTTGTTCATCAATTTGCTCGAGCGTGCCCAGTAATGTCTCCATCGTGAGACTTCTTGTTACTGTGTTTGGCATATCGAATATGTCACGGGGAGCTTGCCAGTGTATGAAAAAATTTAAAAAAAGAAAGGAATGGAGGGAGGAAGGAAGGAAGAAAAAGAAAGAAAGAAAGAAAGAAAGAAAGAAAGAAAGAAAGAAAGTTCTTGAGGCAGAGTATAGTCAGGGGTAACGTGGGGCTGCCGTTTAGGACTCATGCATTTATAGAGAGGAAACAAAAGTGGGGGGCAGAGGAGGCTCAGGGGCAATCATGGGGAGACCGTCTGGCTCCTTGAACCGAGGGAAACCCCCTTCCTCTTTGCATGCCTCAGCGCCTGCTTCTCTTGGCTGCACGGAAAATCTCTCGGGCAGAAAAATGTCTTGGGCAGAAAAAAAGGCACCGGAAGAAGACTGACCTTTGCATCTGAAAAGAAAAGGTTACAAAACTGGACGGTGGAAGGACTGGGGAGAAGAGAGCCCGCCCCAAACTCCAGGGTCACCACACAGAGAGATGGCACAAGTTGGTGTGCTTGCTTCACAGAGGGACACCCAGACAGGGCCCCCTCAGCATGTCCCCCAGGGAACCCCGGCAGGGTGAAGCACTGCCAGGTGCAATCCTCAAATAAAGACAAATAAGCATCCACAAGGCAGGGGCTGGAGAGAGCAACAGGGGAGCTGTCAGAACAAGCTCCGTCCTGCCGTGCTGTCTCTCAGGCAAAGCTTTTAAGGCAGAGAAGCAACTCATTCTTTTTATTCCTTTTCTTGGCTATAGACATAATACTGTTCCTGAGAGTGAGACCAGCACTGTAGCTATGTAGCACTGTCTTCCCGTTGTTCATCGATTTGCTCGAGCGGGCACCAGTAACGTCTCTATTGTGAGATTTGTTGTTACTGTTTTTGGCATATCAAATACGCCCCGGGGAGCTTGCCAGGCTCCCCTGTGCAGGCAGGATACCCTCAGTAGCTTGCCGGGCTCTCTCCGAGAGGGACGGAGGAAGCGAACCCAACTGAGTGCAAGGCAAACGCCCTACCCACTGTGCTATCCTCCAGCCTGAGACCAGCACTAGACAAATAAAAGGGGTGGAAGAGACTAGGGGCTGGGGGCGGGGGCGGGGGGGGCTGGGGGTTGGGAAAGAGGAAGAGAAAAGGGGGAAAGGGAAGGCAGGGGCCAGGGCCAGCATGAAGAGAAAGCAAGGGAGAATGGATTTTGAGTTGCTATTTTCCTAGGGGTGGGCTAGAGTGATAGCACAGCGGTAGGGCATTTGCCTGCTCAGCCAAGCCGGGTTCGATTCCTCCGCCCCTCTCAGAGAGCCCAGCAAGCTACCGAGAGTATTTCGCCTGCACAGCAAAGCCTTGCAAGCTCCCCGTGACATATTCGATATGCCAAACACAGTAACAAGTCTCACAATGGAGACATTACTGGGCCCACTCAAAATCGATGAACAATGGGAGGACAGTGCTGCAGTGTGACAGTGCTATTTTCCTAGGGGTGACTTTCAATATGATCTCACAGATAGCAAAAAGAGGCCCCCAAAGGTTCTAGACCTAGGAAAGTGTCACAATTAGGAAATTGCAACACATCCCTCCCCCACCTCATCATCTGACTCAGTCCTAACTCAGCCAGGCACTCCATGACCTGCCCCAGGGGCCCTGACCAGAGGCCCTGAGTGTCTAAGATTTTGTTTGGGGGCTGCACCCACCTGGCAGCTTATTCCTAGCAAGGTGGGAGGGTGCGGGGGACCCTATGTGGTTTTGGGGAGATGAGCTTGCATTGGCAGGGTCACCACTTTCCCCATGTTCTGTCTCTGGGCCTCAAGATGCAAGTCTCTGGGCGTGAGGCAAAGCAGAGAAAATTCCCCAGTGAAAAGTGAAACTCATCCTCTCCTTGGGAGGCTGGCAGGGTCCCCCAGAGCCTGACACAGATGAGACACGGGGAGCCGCACCCCTCTCAACTCAGTCCCTTTTTCACTGTTGTCCAGTGACTGGGACCACACAGGACACCAGGCATCACCTCCTTCATGGTGGCCGCAAGGCCTCTCGCTTGGCAGTGGGGGACGCTGTGGGAATCCAGCCAGCAGCCTCTTGCTTGCAGGAAAGGAAGTAGGCTGACTTCTCCGAGCCCCATCTCGGGGCTCCAACCAGCTCATTTTATTATTTGGGGGACTCCCCAGCAGATCTCAGGGAACCCATTGCCATTTCTGGTAATTCTCAGCTACAGTTGGTGGTTCAGAGGAGGGTGTGGGGGGATGCAGAGCTGCTGGGGGGGTTGTTCCTGGGGTCCCCTGGGGCTTCTGCAGCAGTGGTCAGGGGTCACTAGAACTTCACTTAGCAATCGGGAACCTTGTGGTGCTGGGGATTAAACCAGTGACAGCTGCACGCAAGGTGTGTGCTTCAAACTCTATTCATCTCCCCAGACCTCAGCCACCGTGTTTGTACATGGAACTCAGATGGGGCTCAGCAGGCACCGGGGGGTCCCAGTACAAAGTCGCTGAGATACAGCTCTGCCAAAGACAGGCCTGCAAACGGATGAGCCAGGCAGTCAAACATTCTTTTAATTATTTTTTAAATTTTAATATTTTGTTTTTAGGGCCACACTGGTCTGTACTAAGGGTTTGTGCTCAGGGGTCACTCCTGGCAGTGCCAGGGATCCAGCCCAGGTCAGCTCACGCCAGCCGCACGCCTTCCCCACTGTACTTTCTCTCCACCCCTATGCATTCCTTTTAGCACAGAAAAAGTGGGTTGGATGTTGGCAGGGCAGCGAGAAAACAAGGGTGTGCTATGAGTGACCCCAGGGTGGAGAGAGCCATCGCAGCTGTCCTCTACCCCCAAACCTGTGGCATAGGCAGTCCTTCTAAGATTGATGGGCCTCAGAAATTACAACATCCCATTGCCAGGGAAACTGGTTAGACCAAGGGTCAGTGCATGTGAAATACATTTGTCAAGGTCCCACTTGACTTCTGCAATGAAGACTTGGGACTTGGGGTGGGGGCTGAGTCAGAAGTCTGGGGGAAAGGGGAAAGTCCGCTGTGTGGAGGCCAGAGGCGCTGCATGCCCCTGACCTCTCATTAGCCGTTGAGAGCAGGAAGTACCAAGATCCGCTCCGGCCCCTGCCAAGGCTCCTCGACTTCTATGATGGGAAACCCAGGGCCATGAGAACAGGAAAAAGAAGGAAAGTGAGCCTCCTCTTTTCATTTTGGTGTCACCCAGCCATGCTCAGGAATTACTCCTGGCTCTGTGCTCAGGAATCACTCCTGGCTGGGCTCAAATTCAAGTCAGCGGTGCGCAAGGCCAGTGCCTTAACAATATCATCTCTCTAACCCTCTTTCTGGGATTTTTTTAATGGATATTTTCAGGTCACAGCAGTCCACCCCCTTTCTGAAGGCTCCTCTTGAAGATGGTCTCAGCCAAGAATTTCTCTGGTAGGTCCCCGACCCATTAGGCACCCTCTGCCTCCTTGAGTTCTCAGGGTTCAAGGTAAAGGGGTTCATCTCTGTCCCAGGAAGGTTGTTCCTGTGAGAAGGGAGCCCCTCAGCCTACTGCCAAGAGGGTGTAGGATTCAGGGTGGAAACTCTCATTGGAGGTTGCCCTTGTTTGTGACTCTGGCATGCGACTGGGTCTGTCTTTCTGTTCCGTTTTCAGTCCCCTGAAAAAGAGAGCTGGGGGTGAAGGGGGCTTCCCCACACTGGACAACCCATGCACACAGCACCTCCGGGGCACACCAGGACCCCCTCCAAAAGCAGAAGTTCCCTGGGTGAGCCAGGCCTCCCTCGGCCTCTTTAGCCTCCAGAGGGCGTAGCCGCCTGCAGACTTTCTCCTCTCTCTCACCCTCTATGCTTTCTGGAAGACTCTGTGCCAGCCTCAGCCATCTGCATCCAGAAGTTCACTCAAGGGGAACCAGGATGATAGGACAGGGGAAG